TTGCTGGTTGCCGAATTCAGCGATGAGCCCGCCTGGTGGACAAACACTCGCGAATACATCTTCCTACTCTTCATTCTGATATACATCAGCAACATCACGATTCGGATAATAGGCCTGGGCTGGACGCGTTTCCGACGAAGCTCCTGGGATCTCTACTCTCTGGTGGCCGTGTTAGGCGCCTTTACCGCGATCCTCGTGCTGTTGATCGTAGACATGAGAGCGGATACATATGTGCAGCTGCACAAGATCTTCCTAGTTGCCATCGTCCTGTTGGTGATCCCCCGGAACGATGCGCTGGATCAGCTGTTCAAGACGGCCGCGGCCAGTCTGCCGGTGATTGGGAACCTCCTGGCCACCTGGTTTGTGTTTTTCCTCGTCTTTGCCATTGCAATGACCCAGACCTTCAGCCTGACCCGCTTTGGAGACAACGAGGGGAGCGACATCAACTTTCGAACGGTCCCCATGGCTCTGATTTTCCTATTCAGAATGAGCCTGGGAGAAGGCTGGAACCAGATCATGGAGGACTACGCCGGCATCGAACCGCCCCTGTGCGTCGAAGCGGAAAGTTTCTTTGACAGCGACTGCGGCAGCAAGCCATGGGCTAGATTCTTATTCATAGCGTGGAATATCGTCAGCATGTACATCTTTGTGAATCTGTTTGTTTCGTTGATCTACGAGAGCTTCAGCTACGTTTACCAGCGTTCGTCCGGCATGGCGGTCGTTGACCGGGACGAGATTCGGAGGTTCAAGGAGGCCTGGCGCAGCGTGGACCCGGCCGGCACCGGCTACATCAGCAAGGAAGCCTTCCCGCGTCTGCTTGGCGAGCTATCCGGCGTGTTCCAGATGCGGATTTACGAACCGGAGGATTCGGTGCGGCAAATCCTCGAGGACGTGCGCGGAGATCTCAGAGCTTCTCGCCACACCTCGATCGTCTCAGCAGCTGCACTCAATGATATCGACATCCACCGGTTGAACGAGAGGTTGAGCCACCTGGACATAAAAAATATTCGCAAACGCCGTCAACGGTTCAACATCTTCTACGAGGAGGTTCTCGTGAGCGCCGATCCGGACAAGGGAATAGCCTTCACGGACGTTTTGATGATTCTTGCTCATTACAACATCATTAATGATAGCAAGAGCCTGAGGTAAAGCCCGCTTGTTGCGCTGAAACTTGTGGTCATTGTCGGATGCATATTCGCTAACAATCGCCAGACTGGAAGAGTTCTTGCGGCGGCGAGCACGGCTGCAGCGCGTCGACGAAGGTATACGACGGCGGATTGTGCAGGGTTTCTTCGACACACTGTAAGTAGCAGCATAACCCGCATCACCATGCGAGACGTATCGGCAATGGTGGAACTGACCAGATGAAACCTTAGATATTGGTCACGCAAGTTCAAAGCACACATGGAGCGAAAGCGGGCTTCTCGCATGACAACGGTCCCACAGCTCAGGATCCCGGACATCATGGTGGAGGATGACGATGACGACACTCTGTCCACGCAGGCTGAAGCCAAGACGTCTCACCTCAGCATGGGTGCTGGTGGAGATGAACATAGAAAGTCGGCATGGCCTCCAAATACGATGGCCGATGGCACGGCCCAGAGTCACCCCCTGGGCTTCCCTCGGTCCTCACTAACAGCACAGGAAGAGAGCAGAGGAACCTCAACGTTTAGCTTTGAACTCGAGACGCCAGACTTGCGGGAAACAATGGCTGCAGAGCTGGAGCGCCCAGCAGACAACAGCAACCTGGACTCGGTTCAGGACATGCTGGACGGCTCAGTGTGGATAGACAGCATTCGGCGGAGCGCGACTCTGCGGGCTACGGATCGAAGCTCATATCGTTATGACGACTTGCCTTGAGAGTCTTGAAGCGCCCTCTTCCTGGTTCGTCATGGAAAAGGCGAATGAAGGGCTGGAGAGAATGTCCTTCAGCGTGAACGGACTAGTATTTACAGTGGTGTTCTGACTTTTGCTTAGCCTTTATATATATCTAATATCATGACCCCAGGTGTTGGCCGAACTCTTGCTTTCTCTTCTTCTTCCGCCCTTTCTACCAGATTTTCCAAACTTTTATAGCCCTTTTCTGTCCTTCTTTCATGTGTCTTCTTTCCCTCCCCTCGCTCAGTTCAGCCGCATCTTCCTTTTCAGCACGGCACTTACGGACAGAGCTGCCTACTCTCGTGTGTTGTGAATATCCAAGACCAGAATGTCGTGTGCGCCAACTCGGGTCAGTTCATCCATGACCAGAGCGATCTTCTTCTTCTCAACCATTGAGCTCACAGCAACCCAGCCGTCATCCAAGGATGTGATGGTGGGGGCGCGTTTTCCAGGGGTGATCTTGGTGGCCGCAGCGACACCGGACCGCTCGATGTTGTACTGGCAGAGAACATATCGCTGGGCTGTGATGACGCCACGTATCCGGGAAGCAATGAGATCTACCAGGTCGGGGTTGGACGGTGAGCGAGACTTGATGAGAACGGCCGTTGACTCGACCACGGTGTCGATGGCCTTGAGGCCCGCAGCCCTCATTGTCTCTCCTGATTCTACAAGAGAAAAAAGGGGGGTTAGCAACAAGAAGGCGCATAAAGAGAGCGAGAGGATACTTACCGACGAGGTCCACGATGCCATCGGCGACTCCCAATGCGCATGCTGCCTCGACGCTGCCGCTCAACTCAACAATCTTGGTCTGGAGCTTCTGCGGACGGGAGGAGTCGTCGTTGGCGGCAGCGGCGCCGCTGGCCTGCGCCTCCAGCTGGGCGAAGAAGTCGGCAGTCAGGCTCACGAAGCTGGTGCCGACCGTGCGGCCGATGAGGTCTGCGCTGGTGGCGTACTTGCCCTTCTCGGGAACCTGGACCTGGAGCTTACACGCGCCGAAGCCGAGCTCCGTGATCATCTCGCAGCCCGAGCCCTGGGCGGGAGCGCCTCCGTGGGCAGCAGCGGCGTTGACGGCCGCATCGTGCTCCTTGACCTGATCCCACCCCGTGATTCCGAGATCGACGCGGCCCTGGCCGACAAACGTGGGGATGTCGGCGGCGGGCAGGAAGATGAGGGCAATGGGCAGGTTCTTGACGAGGGCAATGTCGAGGCGGTTCTCTCTCCGGAACTGGATGTCTGCGCCCTCGAGCAGGTTCAAGGTCGCTTGGTTCAATCGGCCCTCTGCAACAACAGGTCAGCGACACGCAAAGCTTGACGTTTGTGGAAAGGCAACCGGCGAAACTGACTTTTGGGCACGGCGAAGAGCAAGCGTCCTTCGAGACTATGACGGAAGAGGAGAGGAAAAAAGTAGTTAGCAAAAAAAGAGCCTTGCAAACTTGACCAGCTCGTTGATGTTTTTCCAACCAAAAGGACCGCGATTCTGTTCACTTACCTGTTGACAAGTTCCATTGTTGCAATTGACGCCAACGGCAGCAAGCGAGAGAGAGACTATGTCGCCAATTGTTACTTTGTTTTCGCTGTAGGCAGCGGGAGGGAATTGGGGAAAAGGCAAAGGCGCAAGTGAGGCTCGACTATGATTTTGGTGCTAAGCAATGTGACGACGAGTCATACCAGTGACGGGACCGGATATGATGTACCTCTTACACTGATTAGGTACTACTGACTTGACTACCTACTTACAGACACATGCCAGACCGCTAATGATACAAAGAACTGGAACCGACCATAGGTAAGATGGCCGGATTTTGATATTTTGGGTCCTCCGAAACCGGTTGCGGGTCGACAACGACTGAATGCCTGCCACTCACAACTAGAAAGCCGACCACATGCCAATTCTTTGTGATAAGATAATCGCGATAAGCACTGATAAGGAGGTGGGTGGGTCACACTCCATACTGTTCTACATCTCCGCCCTGCATACCTGCCTACTACTGGATGGGTATGTACAGTAGTAGTGGTTACCTTGCGTAGCAATACTAGGTACTGCTGTATGTAGGTACTTACTGTGTATGATCTGCACCGCATCTGTCAGGGTCCAACACACCATAAGGTAGGTAGTAGGTAAGTAAGCAAGGTACACGAGCCGGACAATGGACTTGGCATGTATAACAGGTACCACAACTTCTAGCGTCTGTGATCAAGTCCAGTGCTACCTTATGGTTTGGTACTAGGTACTGCCTGAACTTCTAAAAACCCCCGGCATGTACCTAGACAGGACCCCCCTTCAACTTGATTGAGGTACCTAGGCTGGAAGGTGCCGAAGCTACCTAGGTACGACCTTTTATCTTGCGATTTGATAGGTACGATACAGGTACTGGCCGGGTGGGAAAATAGTGGCATTGGCACGGCATGTAGGAATCAAACTGTAGTAATTAAACATATCTGTATTAACAAGGGGTTTCAATTATCTCAAGTGTAACTTTAATGACTTGTATAGCAAGCAGTACTAAACCTATTTACCAGGCAGACAAACCTCAGTGTATCAGCGCTTATAGCAGTACTTCATCTCGTGCCCTCAAGGGAACGTTCGTGCCGTCTACTGTACCAGGCCAATCAAACATCTTCACAAGAGGAGCGCCATGAAGACGAGAAGGCGAATCCCCAGTTGCCTGACCTTGGACAATGGCCACTCAAGTTCCTTTCGACAACAAACGGCAAACAAAACCAATGCCGGTACACCGGCCAACATCTTCTGCTGCTGCGCAGTGGGCTCTTCGCCATAACCATTCTACCATCCAAATGCTCGGGAGAGAAGAAAACAATAAGAAAGACATGTGCGCTGCGACCAGCTCCGCTCTAGAAGAGGAAATCGAACATCTCAATAATGCGCCGCGCTCTTCATGTTGCCATTGTACTCAAATGTGATAAAGGGGGGAAAAGATCTTTCAAGTAAAATGTCTGAAGCCATGGTTGAGAGTTGGGCAAGGCTCTTCTGTTTCTTCTTCTTCTTTACCCTCTTCTTCTTGTTCTTCTTCTTCATCATCTTTTTTTTCTTTTCTTCCCCTTCTTCTTCTTCTTCTTTTTCTACCACCTCCATTAGTCTCGAGAAAACTCTCGACGAGGCTTTAGAACGCAGGTCCTAGACCATTGCGCGACTGTCGCTTGCTGAAGCGGTTCCTTTTCGCCGGCGTGGGGTCCTCTAGGGGTGCCTGGCCTTTGCTCAGATGGCCACGGGATGGTCGATCGTTGGTCGAGAAGCCATCTGCGGTATTTCCTCTGCCGACAAGAGTGCTGGAAGGTGTTGAGACTGTGGAAGACATCTCGCCAAATGCGGCATCAGACGCCATGTTTTGTGACAATGCCATATCTCTGGCTCTCTCTAGGCTCTCCACCCACTCTTCGGCAAACGCAAGATCGCCTCCCGAGTTCGACGAGGACTTTGTTTCTTCAAAAGTAAAATGCTGGCCGCCCTGCAGAGTTGATGAGTTTCCGAGGTTCAAGGAGACAAGGAATGGCGGGGATCTTACCGTGTCCAGACACCACACATACTGGCCCTTGGCGTCCTGATGAGTCTTCCACGTTGTATCGGGCGACAGCAGCGACAACTCCTGCTTTGCCCTCTTTTCTTCGCCTCCCGCTGGAGCCAGCAGGACGCGGCCGCTTGAAGTCACCATGACGAGTCGCTGGCGCTTCTTCGTTGTGCTTCCGCCGAAGAACCGAGCTAGCTTCCTATGGCCCTCGTCGGACCCCTTTCCGTTGGATCCATTGGGTATTGGTGCGGAAAGGACCATCAGATCCCCAAGCTTCAAGATGCGCTCGTTGTTTCTCGTGAGCACCGGGGACCATTCGATGTCTAGTTGTGTAGGAGGCGGCAGTTCGGTGATGATGCGAGCAGGTCGGTTGCTGCCGTTGGTCGGATTGCTGGGCTGGTTGTTTGGCGGCTGCGTTCGGGAGTTGGGACTAGGGCTTGTAGAAAAGTTGTTGAGCTGGATGATGTTTGGCTCCGGGGCCGGCGGGACATATGGTCGCAGCCTTGGGGCCTTTGACCTCCACAAGGGCCTGCCAAACGGCTGGCCGTTGAAGAACTCGTGGTTCTTGATATGCTCTATGGTGAGTCTCCTGGCTGGGTCGAGGACAAGGCATCGCTCCACCAGGTCTCGCGCCGCAGGAGGAAACCCTTGAGGGAATTCATACTCCAGGTTGACGATTTTCTGAAAGGTCAGATACTCGCTCCCAGCCTTGAAGGGGGGCCGTCCAGCCAGCAGCTGATAGATGATGCAGCCAAAAGCCCAAAGGTCACTAGCCTTGCAAGCATTCTTATGTGTGAGCAGCTCGGGGCTTACGTACTCGGCCGTGCCGACAAAGGATGCAGCGCGGCCGTCGTCGCCGTTTCGACTGTCCGCGTCCAGCCCGTCAGTGCCCTCCGAGTTGGCATCCGGGTTGGTTCGAGGGTCGGGAAGGAGCCGGGCGGTGCCAAAGTCTGTGATCTTGACGTGCATCTGATCATCGAGCAGTACGTTTTCCGGCTTCAGGTCACGGTGGATAACGCCGCGCGAATGCATGTACTCGATGGCGTCGAGGATCTGTGCCCCGTAATACCTCGTGCATTCGACATCGAAGGTGCCGGTCCGCTTGAGCACGCCCAGCAGCTCGCCGCCATTGCATAGATCGAGCACGTAATAAAGCGACGTCTCGTCTTGAAACGTGTAATAGAGGCGAACGATGCCAGGGTGCTCGGTCAAGCGATTCAGCGTGTTCTTTTCGATATTGACATATTTGATCTTCTTCTCCTTGATGATGTGTCTCTTTTCCAACACCTTGATGGCGTACTCCTTGAGGGTCTGGCGGTCGGTCGCCAGGTATACGGTGCTGTACGAGCCCTCCCCGAGCACCCGCCCAAAGGCAAAGTCTCGCACTCCTTTCTTCACCTGTCGAACGACCGGGCGGCCGTTCTTGTCGAGCTCGCGGCGTACGCCCACGGCAGCGCCGCGGTCTTTCCACTCCTCGCTGCTTGTCGGGACAGGAGCATCGCCTGCGAACGGCTGCGGCTTGCCAGACAGGGCAGGGTTCCCTTCTCGCTGTTCTCGCTGAGATGCCTGTCGTGAGATGGGCTGGGACTGCTGGTAGGAGCGTGACGACCCCCTTTGGCTGGGTTCTCGGCCAAGGTACTGGGTCGCCGGGGCAGGCGACGCGAAGTCGGATGCCGCTGCTGGTGGTGCCTCGGACAGGTTTACCCGCAGGCCGTCTGAGGAATGCAGCGTGCGTGGAGGTTGCGAGGCGTCCCTGGGGGCGTATGCAGCTGGGGGTGCCGGGCTTGCGTCGACATCGTCGGGCGGTGCAGAGGGCTTCGGGTCGTCGTGGATGGCATCGCTGGAATCGTCTGGATTTGCTATTCGCAGTCCTCCGAGAGCCTGAGAGAGACTCAGGTCCCCATTCATCTTGACGGTCAAGGAGCAGAGGATGCTCCTTGGGGATGGGCGGGCGGACTCCCTTTGAAACAGGGTGACGATAAACAAGTGAGCCGCAGCCAGCACGGGCAACCGTGTGCTAAGTCGTATCCAGTAGAGCTTTGTTGCGTTCGTTAATGCAGTGGGTTCACCTCCCTTCAATCTGGAGCAGAGAGGTACACGCTACAGGTACTAAGGTACCTCTAGCTCCTTGTAGAGTGTGCTGAAGACGATTAGGTAAGGTAAGAAGTTCCTGAGCAGGTATATCAAGCATCTCATGCTTGGCAAATTCTATACTTTAAACTCCTAATAACTAATATATTAATTATTAAACTATATGTTTTCCACTTAATAAAAAACTAATACCTATTTTAATTAACTCTATATTTATATAAACTATATAAATATAAAATTAAAATAATAATTAATATTTATATATAGTATATTATATTATATATATTACTATTATAAAAATTTTTTTTAATAATATAGCTTAAATAGCATTATGATTTAATTCTTAATATTTTTTCATAGAGAGCTATGATATCTATAAGTATATCAGTTGCTTAGTATAGACTAGTACTCCTGACTATTCAGGCGCATGACAGTGGAGCCAGCAGTACGAGGCCCTTGGCCTCTCATGTGAGCGAGCCCCTCCTCGGGCCAGTACCGTCATGCCGCCCCTAGAGGAACCCCCCCCTGCTCGAATACTACATATTACCGACCCCTACCTACGCAACTTGCGCAGGCTACGCGAGCAATCCCAACATTTTAATACAGACGTCCCCCGCCATAGAAGCAGCCAACTTGTGCCCTCTTGCGATCAGTTCCACGACACCTTCTCGTTTCTTAGAATGAAAGACCCCTTCTTCGTTCCGCCGATACCATGGCTCTCCGAGCTGGTGCAGCCGTGGAGTGACCGCCTCAACCTCCCGTCATTGCCACGGCACATCCACGAAGTCGTCCTGTCCGCGCTCTTCTATACCCTCATCTTCTGGCCCGTCTCGCCCATGCTGTCGAGATTGCTGGCACCTCAACACTACAACAAGCTGTCCCGGAAACGACGGTTGAACTGGGATGCCCACGTCGTGTCCTTTATCCAGAGCACCTTGATCAATGTCGTCGCCATTTGGGTCATGGTTGTCGATGAGGAAAGGAAGAATATGGACTGGGAAGAGAGGGTATGGGGCTATACTGGCGCTGCCGGTATGGTCCAGGCCTTGGCTGCTGGGTATTTCGTATGGGACTTGTTCGTGACCAGCCTGAACCTCGACGTATTTGGGCTGGGAACTCTGGCGCACGCCATAGCGGCTCTGCTGGTTTACACCCTTGGCTTTGTACGTTGGATCTCTCCAGAGATGGTCACTCGGTTTTTTTTTTGTTGAGCCTGTTACTAACCTCTGTCCAGCGCCCCCTCGTCAACTATTACGGATGCGTCTTCATACTCTGGGAGCTTTCGACGCCTTTCCTCAACATTCACTGGTTCTTCGACAAGGTCAACATGACTGGATCCCGCGCGCAGCTCTACAACGGCATCCTCCTTCTCTTCAGCTTCTTCTCTTGCCGGCTCATATATGGCACCTTCCAGTCGTTTTGCGTAATGAGAGACATGTGGACTGCCGTCAATTCTCACCCGACCAAGGTGTCCATTGCCGAATCGCCAGTCATGGAATTCGCAACACAGGAATCGACCGTTCAGGCCTGGCTCGCAATCTCGTATGTCATGTCAAACCTGACACTCAACTCGCTCAACTTTTACTGGTTTGTCATGATGATACGGGCGGTCCTCAAGCGGTTCAAGCCCAACGAGAAGCTTGCCATCACCGAGGCCGAAGTCGACCTGTCGTCGATTGCCTCTGGTGTGTCTCTGGGTTCTGGGGCGCAGCGTCGCAAGCAGGACAAGTCTTGAGAGTTTAGGACGTTGGAATCCTCCTGAATCTTGGCGTGGCTCCCATGATTTTGTCATTTGCGACGTTTCGAGGGCTCTCTGTGTCATGGGGCTGGGTGGTGCGGCGGTCAGGCGACCTACCTACTAGAAGGGCACGGGCATGATGCGCGCGATGCTGTGCAGGTGCTGTGCGGTGGGATATATGTGTGGTCATTTTGATTTTGTGCAATCATGTTAATGGAAATGTTTCATGACAGTTCTTTTTTCCTTTTTATCCTGTTTTCCCCCTTTTCCTTTTTTTTTCTTTTCTTGGTTTGGCTTGGGGAGCAGCAGGATCAGCAGCATGCATGACACATACATACATTATACATTAGACTATTGAATAAATGAATACACCAAAGGAATCATGGGGATTAGTATCATCTCTTTTTCTCGGGACTTTGTCATATGCATCTTGTTGAATCGGCTATACTGAGAGTATACCCGATACAAGCCATACCATCTACCTAGTAGTACGAGTGCGATGCATGTACTGTGGTAGTATATAGTTCTAAATATAGCCGAGGACCCAACACAGCTGAAGTCCTTGATATGCATCTCTCTCTCTCTCGCCCTGCTTTATCCAAAACGCATCGTCTTACGCCGCCCGTCCTCCCGCTGTCTTACATACCCTCGCCCCTCAGCTACGACTAAGCCGACATGGTGGTATACATTCCTCCATACCTACATAGTACTGCATGTACCGTATATAAGCCATCTCATTCAAACCACTAAAACATTTCCCCCCCATCTCTGTCATCATCATCCATCCATCCATCCAATCCATCCGTCCACCCCCCCAGTCTGGAGCAGCACATCGCTATTCCGGGAATGGCCTAGGCAGGCCGCTAGAGCGCTGCACCCTTACCTGACTTGTCCTGACTTGTAGGTCATGCTCCGTCGTCCGAGTCTTGTCACTTCTTCTGATCCCGATATCCACCAGGGCGGCCTTTATGCTGGAGCCCGTCACCCATCCGCTGTGGACGTTGCCGCAACCATGAACTCGGCCTACGGCTCCTCGGAGCTGCCCCGGCAGCTGCCTCTCGGAGGCCACGGAGGCCACGGCTCGATGCCGTCGCTCATCCCGCCCATCGTCAGCGCCAGCTCCGCGTCCAACTCGGCCGCCCTCGACCACCTCTACCATCACCAGCCGCCGCCGCGTCTCCCCCTCGGCGCCGTCCCCCAGTCCCCGATCCAGAGCCAGGCTCCTCCTCCTCCACACCTGCATCCTCCGTCGCACCACTTCCAGCTGCACCCGGGCCACGGCCATCACCAGCAGCCGCACCACGAGCGCGACCACCGCCTGCCTCCGCCAGTGGCCAGCTACAGCGCGCATTCGCACCATCTCCAGCATGACCCGTTGCCCCAGCGGCTGGAGTCGTCCCAGCCCGGCCATCCGGGTGCTGCCGAGCATAGGGACCACCCCCAGCACGCGCTGGACGAGCCGTCCAGATCCCACGACCCATATCCAAGCATGGCCACCGGTGCCTTGGTCCACTCCGAGTCGCAACAGCCTGCGTCGGCTAGCCTGCTTCTGCCAATCTCCAACGTCGAGGAGGCCACGGGGCGGAGGTATCAGTAGGTCTTGCTGTGCCGCCTTGGTTTCGCCCGCCGATTTGACGTGGAATGCTGCTAATCCGGCCTTACACACACAGCCTTGATGTTGTCCAGCAGCCTCGACGCGCCCGCATGTGCGGATTCGGTGACAAGGTATTCTTTTGCAAGCTTTGACGGCGATGCCATGCAAACCACTCACAGCTACATAGGATCGACGACCGATAACACCACCGCCATGCGTGCGACTCATCATCATCGATGTCGCTACCGGAAAGGAGATTGACTGCAAGTATGTGTGATCAGAACGTGCTCGCTCCTGCTCCTGCATCTGCCTCGACTTCAAAAGATGTCTAACACATCCCTCTCAGTGACATCGACCATTCCATGTTCGTGCTCAACGTTGATCTCTGGAACGAGGACGGCACCCGCGAGGTCAATCTCGTCCGCTCTTCCACAAGCAGCAGCCCGTCGGTCTCGTCCACAGTGACATATCCATACGGATCAATTTCTGTTGGAGAGAGCTCGCATACGTATGGACAGAGCGCCCATCCCCCCAGCCGCGAGGCACCTTACAGCGTGTCACAAACTGCAAGCTATGCTCCGGAATATCAAACGCAGCCTACATACTCTCAAGGTAATCCCAATTCTGACAATGGCCACTCACTCACTGTCTTTATGCATTGCTGACCAGGGCCAAACAAAATCCCCAACAGGCTCTTCAGCGTACCCTTCAAACGGCACATATGGTCCGCCGCAGCAGTATTTCCCACAGCACCAGGCATACCGCACAGAGACAGGTCCTCCTGGGGCAATGCAAACGACAGTGGGGGGCTTCAGGGGATATGCACAGGACCAGAATGCCCTGACCAAGATGGCCGTCGTGGGCGGGCAGCCCCAGGGCATGTTCACCCGGAATCTCATTGGGAGCCTGGCCGCAAGTGCATTCCGCCTCGCCGATACGTCGGAGCACCTGGGCATCTGGTTTGTCCTGCAGGACTTGAGTGTCCGAACTGAAGGGCCATTCCGGTAAGATTCTCCTCCTCCTCCTCCTCCTCCTCCTCCTCCTCCTCCTCCTCCTCCTCCTCCTCCTCCTCTCCCCCTCCTCTCTCTCTGCCACGCCATAACCCAGTTCTGCGCAAGTCGAACGATGCTAATTCCTTACCTGCGCAGCTTGAGGTTCTCCTTTGTCAACGTTGGCCCCCTTGCGGGACAGAATGGCGCCAAGGTCAACACGGGAAGGGCTCCCATATTGGCGTCGTGTTTCAGCGAAGTGTTTAATGTGTACTCGGCCAAAAAGTTCCCGGGTGTCTGCGAGAGCACGCCGCTCAGTAAGACGTTTGCGGCTCAGGGCATCAAGATTCCGATCCGCAAGGACGCCAACCTCAAGGGAGGAGATGGCGAGGACGATTACGGCGACTAAGACGCGGATTCTCTTAGCGATCAAAGACTGCCGATGACTGTCGCTCTTATTCTCCCGACGGGCTTTGATCGCAGTGTAAGATGCTCACGATGCTGGGGGGCTTTCTCTCTCTTTTATGCTTGTTTCTTTCATTCTTTGTTCTCTCTCGTCATACTGTACCAAGAAAAGCTTGAGGTGGGATTATAATGGGCAAGGTTTCGGATACCAGGATATGGACATGGGGATACACGCATGGATATTGACATATTGTTATTGATTACTTCGGCTTTGCCTTTGCTTCTTCTACTCGTACTTGTCGAGGCCCTCATACCACAAAGTGAACCGGACTCCCCCCTTACAGACCAAAACTATCGAGTAATGAAGCAGCGTCCGGCTCGTGGAACGTGGACGGCGGCGGCGCAGGACGCTTGACCTGGTCGCGCTCATCCATAAACTTGGCGTGAAGCTCAGATGTGTGTAGATCATTGACAACAAGCGAGCTTCGGCGTCTCAGCAGCGTCAGTGGGTTCATGTCGCCTCCAAGCCGAGTCGGCGTCTGCTGTTGGAATTCCCATGTTCGAACTATTAGGATTGTCAGCGTCTCCCTCTAAATAAGTAATATGAGATGCACGATATGGGAGGCAAGCTTAAATACGTACCTAGACTCAGACCGAGGAGATCACAGCCCATCCGATCATAGAGCTTTGCGCTGTGGAGGACAAACTCCCACTCCGCTTTCGGCGACACCTTGGACGCTCCTCGCAGCGTTTGCAGTGTTTTCTGCCGCAGCTGAGCATAGAGAACAACCAGGGCGGGATCATCAGTCAAGAAAGACCGAGATTTGAGATCCGGCGATGAAGGTGTCTCGAGAAGCGTGTATACGGGTGTCTTTTTTGGTAGCAGCAGTATGTCAGCCCCTGATGATGACATTCTTTGCAAGCTTGAGAGTGGGATTTTGGGGGTTATGAATACTCACAACAAGCGCCCTCACTGCCATGTCTCTCCTTCCCAGCATCCAGAAGGCCCAGGACGCGAGCCAGCGATTCCCCTCACGCGCTGCAACCGTCAGGACCTCCTCCTGCAACAGTTTCCGCAGCACCGGCCCGTCGCTGCCCTCGTAGACGCGCGTGATGGCAATGGCCAGCTGAAGGTCCTTCAGTTGACGGAGACAGACCTCAACGGCACTGTCGAGCCGGTCAGCTAACAAAAAGAAGGCGGCCGCATACTCTGTTGCCCGTTAGAGATGAACACGTCGTTGTAGAGCCTCATGACTTCTACTCACTAAACCGCCGCTTGCTCAACAGCGCATATGCGTTCTTCAGAGCAGCTGTGCGCCATCTTGGCTCTTCGAAATCATGACCGAGGAACCGCATAGTTGTAGCTTGTTCCTTGTCTCCTCCGGCCATTCGCCAGAGTCCCTGCAGTATCGTCTTCTTGCGAAGTGCTATGTAGAACAGGCTGCATTCCACTGGGCTTCGGGTTCCGTCCTTTGTATATTCACTTCGTGCGACAGCCTCAAATTGTCGTTGCTATTCACAGTTAGCGCTCTGGTACTGCCAAACTCTTCTCTTTCGCATCACAAACCAAATGCTGCGTATCGGTGAGCCACATGAAGATGCCGCTCTCTCGGGCGTGCTCCCACAGTAGGACGTTGTGATTCTGGCGAGTCACAAAATCCGAGAGAATGTCTTGACTCTCCGAGTGGTATGCCCAGTTAATCTCTCTCCATGAGAGCTGTATCTCGTTGGTGCGGCCTTTTCGAAGCGCGTGCTGTCTGAAAAAGAGCATGAACCGGGCTCCGTTCTCATCAATGGAACGACGCTCTCGCTCCACCAGTGCTACGCATTCGATGATGTCCACCAATTGAATCTGTTCATGGCCGGAGAGTTGTGGTATCCCTAACCGAGTGAGCTTCTCGTTGATTGATGTGGCCACTGCCTCATTGAAAACTTCGTCGTCCTCGCTCCTGGAAGGTGCATCTAGATAGCTTAGCCCAGTACTGAATCTTTGGCCGCTGTTATCCTGTAAATGGGATTAGTTATATGTATATATAAGTGTGTGTGTGTGCAGAGATAGTTGTGAAAAGGGCCATACCGCGGTTGGTTCATAGAACTCTTGCAAGTCAATCCCGAGATAATTGTCGACGGAGTCGCCTGGGACGAGGAACTTCAACGTTTTATGAAGCTCCACGAGAATTCGTCGCACGAGCTTGTTCCTGCCTGCGAGGATACATTGACTTAGGAACTGAGGGTGGAACACGGGAAGAGGTCCGTTAAATCTCTGCACTGCCTCGAAGAGGTCCCATGTGCCGTCTTGACGATGAGGCAGTCTGAGATCGGCCGTGGGGGACTCGTCCATGCCAACCCGTCGATCGTAGATGAACAACTGGTTACCCGCCCCAACAAGGAGATGGCCGTGAGCGAGCCATGTTGAGTCACCGATCGGATGGGGCGTCAGATCGCGGGTGATGATTTCCCGGATTGGCGCCCAGGCTGCGCCCTTGTTCAAATAGTCGAATCTCATCTGAGACAGCAGAAGGACGCGGTATTGAAAGCCAACAGCAAGAATCGACTGAGCGTCGGGTGTTGAAGTCCAATCAAGGTCCTGAATAGCGTCTTGCGACTCATAGTCCTCGTCAAACTCTAGGCGAGAGCCGCCGACATCCCATATAGCAAGCCTCGACCTATTAGAATTTACAATCGCAGCCTTCTTGAGCATACTGCCACTAACCAATGCTGGCTCTGAGAAGTTTGACTCGGCATGGCACGTCGACAGCCACCCCACGGTCTTGCGCTGCGGGTCGACACGAGCCGTCCAGAGCTCGATTCGACCGGTGTGCGTACAGGATATAGCGATGTCCTTGGCAAAGATGTCGAGAAACTCGGATGATATGGGGCCAGAGCCAGCGGGATCAACCGGGAGGACATACTTCAAGTCTTCGGCCAATTTGAGGTCAACCAGACAAAACTGCTCGATGCCCGCACCAACCGTGCTCGTTGGCTCCTTGATATAGTTCGGAAGGCTGAGCTGCCAAACGATCCCACGCCCGTTGGATGTAATCATGGCGATATGAGCAGTGGTGTAGTGTACATGCTGCGGTTTGGGCAAGATGATGAGACACAGGGGAGCACCCGAAGCCTCGTACGTCCTACGGGCAAGTATGGCGCCCTTTGAATGCCGACAATCCCAGAGCGATATGACATTCTCTCTGAGGAAGACGACAAACCGGCCTTGGCGAAGAACACAAATGCGATGGATGTGACCGTTCTCGGGAATCGTGCTGCGGCGATTAAAGGACAAACAAGAGGATCCGGGCCGGGTCGTCAGCGCATGGTTCCACACAATCGTCTCGCCATCCTTTGTCCTCGACACGACTGCTCGGCCGCTAAAGTTACGCACTATCTTCTTGATCGAGGCAGAGTGGCCGGTCCAGATCGTACGGAGCAACAGCCGCTTGTCATTGGCCGTGGGATCGAACAAATCAGCGGCGCTGCATTCGAAAACCGCTATTCTGCCATCGAAGACGTGCAGGAGAATTCGCAGTTGCCCGGTTTTTCGGTTGCAGTACGTTTCCACCTCCAGATGGGAGAAGTCGTCCGAGGATAGAAGGCTGGAGAAGTTTTCCAACTCTGGCGATGTTGTCTGCGCAATGTTGAAAATCTGACGTTCGTCCGAGGAGGCATTACCGACGTTTTCCAAAGCCCACGCAGTCAAGAACCCCGACCGGTTCATGGCGAGGCAGATCTCCGGGCTCCTGTTCGCAATGGCTACCAGATGGTCCAATGCCACATCATCGGTGCTGCTGTCATCCGCCATCCGCTGTTCTATGGCCCTCTCCACAGAAGCGGTGAAGTCTCGCCCGTCAATAAAGCAAACCAGCCATGGCTCTGGCGGACGGACGTTGTCTGGCATCGATTTGGCCACATCGATCTTCCCCCAGAGCTGCCACTTCCATCCGCTTGCGGTGTCTGTCGGAACCCACACGCGTACATGACCATCCATGCAGCTGGTATACAGGACGTTGCCTGTTGCTTGCTCCACGTGGAAGGGCTTGCGCCATCTGATGCTCGTAACGGCGGCTGGATGGCGGAGGTATGCCAAGTCGAAGCGGACGTCGTTGGAGCCATAGGTCAAGCGGCGCCAAACCTTTGGAAGGTGATCATGATGGGAGAGAGAGGCGATGTATGCCGAGTCGTACGACAGTGTTGCTATTTTGGCAGGGCAAGGGAGCTTCTTTTCCCACAGGTATTCGAGGTGCTCGCCTGTGGAATACAGGGAGAGGCACCGGCCTGCAACTAGAAGCTCCTCCGAACTACCCCAAGACAAAGCCGGTATGACCTCGGAGTCGTCGTGCGGTACGCCAAAGGCGAATTGGAGCGCCCACTGTTGACATGTTAGCCCCTATTGCCATGTAGATGGGCAGAGAAGATGGCGCGACCTTCAAGGCATCTTCCTGGAATCCCCCCAACGGCTTGTAGACCCGGACCTGCGCAATTGTTGCCACGGCGATTTTGCCCGTCAACTCGTCGATAGCTATAGCCTGCAGCGGCTCCTCGTTCTCATCGTAGATCGTCTGGACGATGGTCTGCAGACCGTCGAGGATGGTGAATGCATTTCCGGTGACGTATGCCTAGTTTGGTCCAGGGACCACGCGGTAAGCTTCATGTGCTATCGAACAGCTTCAGCAGCGACAGGGGAAGCTGACGCTCTCTCACATTGAGGTGCAGGTTGTTCCAATAAGCAATAGCCAGACCTTGGAGTCTTGACTGCGGCTTACCCGGCAGGACGATGCTCATGCTACTGGGATGCGAGAATCCAGCAGGCGTGCGGAGAGTTGTCCAGATGTGAGCTCGAGGCGCGAAACAGCGATCAGCATGATAGACGGCGAGCGGCTGTGGAGAGAGCGAGGGCGAGCGTTGGCGAGGGCTGTGAGTGTCGCGAGCGTCGCGTCTTGTATGCGAAGGTCGAGCGAGGGCGGAGGGTGTTGGGACAGGCCAAGCAGACCATGGCGCATCTCTTGGATTCTCGGCTGCTGAGGTCTAAGATGCGTCTTAAAAAGCATCCCACCTTGCTATGGGTAGTAGGTCGATCAGGTCTAGCAGCAACCGCCTGTAAGGTTACGTAGGTAGTTGAAAGTATAACGCAACGCCCCTCGATTACGTGGGCAGACAGCAAGCGAGCCTCATACCTTCATCATTGTTTTCGAAATGAAGATTCAGGGCTTGTTTTCTACAATTCTTATTCAAAACCGACGCATTTCTACTTCAAAATTCGAATATTCCTTCTCGGTTCTTTTGCTCCCCTTTCTCTGTTACTACTAGGAGTATTAGTAGGATCCCACCCAATGCTAGAGTACCCGAGCTCGACTTTCCACAAGTAGCCGCACTTCAAGCCAAAGTACCCTCTACCTCTTTCGACTCATCAGCTCAGACCCGCAGCAGTGCAATAACGGGTCTCCCCGGGCAAGCTCAGAGGTATCCGGTACCCGCTGCAAGCTGTCTGGTTCTCCGCGACTCTAGCTCAAAACGGCCACCGCACTGCGACGACAACTCGGACTTCCCCCATGTACAGTATTAGTGCGTAACCGCGGACATTCAAACCAACCCGGCGATGCCCTCAAGCTCCCGCTGAATGTTCCCCACCACTCCGACTCTCTCAGCCAAAGCAGAAAAAGAGAAGATAAAATAGGGAAAAGGGATAGAAAAGCAATAAAATGCCCAGCGCATCACAGCTCTTCCTACTCGCCGACCACATCAAGCTGTCGCTGCTCGAGTGGCAGCGTGCCAAAGCCCTCAACCCGGACGACGACTCCCTCAGCGGTGACATCTCGCGCTCCTTCGACCAGCTCCGGAATGGCATCGCCTCTCTAGACCAGGAGAGCGCCCGCCTCCAGCAGGTCGGCGATCAAATGTTTGTTCCCGCCCATTCTTTCGAAGCGTCGTAAAAGAACAAAATGCATGCGACAAAAAAGATTGGCGGCAGTCGTCGGCTTTGAACTTGTGCTAACTCTCGCAATTCCAACACAGGGGCGCGCAAGCCATTGCCGACTCTCTCCCGGATCTGCACAAGCAGTTTGACGAGTTGATAGCTCAGTATCATGCCCTCGCCGGCGCCTCCGCCAACTCACCCGATGCTGCTGCTGCTGCTGCCGGCGAAGAGACGGACGACCTCTCGTCCTCAGGTCACAGAGCCGGTCGCAAGCCCAAGACGGTGCGGTTCAGCGAAACGCCCCGGTCGCCGACCCAGGACCTCTTTGGCCGCTACCACGACGATCCGAATGCCTCGTCGGACTCGCTGGGATACAGCGACAACGCCGCCGGCATGTCCAACCAGCAAATATACGAGTACCATAATCAGATCATGCAGGAGCAAGACGAGCATCTCGATCGCCTGGGAGAGTCCATTGGCCGGCAGCGGGAGCTCAGCATGCAGATCGGAGACGAGTTAGAAAGCCACATGGCCATTCTAGACGAAGTCGACCATGTTACGAATCGCCACCAGAGCCGCGTGGATCGAGCCAAGAGGGCTCTGGGCAAAGTTGCAAAGGGCGCCTCGGAGAACAAGCAGATGGCCATCATCTTCATTCTCATTGTTATTCTTGTGCTGTTGATTGCTATCCTTAAATGACCTAGCAAAAGACATACCATTTCTGGATCGTTATATAAAGCGGTGTTGGCGTTGGCGTTGGCGTCTGAGGCATTGCTGAGCACCAAATCGTTCCCATCTCCTGGGGTGGTTTACTTTATCACGGGGCACAACTGATCGGAAAGTATATAGATCGCTGCTGCGATAAGGTAGTCATCAAACCCCCTTGTCTCTGGTTCAATGGATTTCGCATTGTTTCGGGTTCTCACTTCAGTTCAGATACAGTCTCCCGTGGGTAGATGCGCTCACTCATAGTACTATATAATTTAGGTATGATTGTTGGTCTTGCAATCTAGAATTCTCACAATCACGCTGTTGATGTCTTTATTTTGTCGCCGTGGCTGGGAAGTCCATCAGCGAATCACATCCCCCTCGTTGTCGATTCCCTCAAGGCTGTCGAGAATACCACTACCCCCCAACAATCCCCTGCCCCCTCCCAGGATCTTGCCTTCGTTGCACCAAATCTCGTGGAACTTGACGCTTCTGTCACTTGACGCCACAACAATGCAACCCTCGCGGCTCTTGAGATCGTGGCCCGTTGTCTTTGTCTTTGCCGGGCCTCGGGGGAAAGGGATGGCATACAGCGCTCGAAGCTCTCCTTCCCAAGGGATCGCCGCTACTTGCTTGCACTCGGGCCAGCTAAATATAGCGATCCGGTAAGGATGCTCCGGTTCTGTGTATCCAAAGGTAGCAGCAATCTCACGTCTCGTTGATGACCAGATGAGAGCCGTCACCTGAGCTGAAACCGCTATTGTGGCCAAAGCCGCGCCTGAAGTTGTATGGTAGAAGTGGATGCACTTGTCGTTTGAACCGCCCCCCGTTGCAACCAGTCCTTCACGCCACGGGCAAAAGGCAATGGCCTTGACTGCGGCCTTGTGTATCCAGCGATGCTTCTCAGCCCCAGGACCCAATCTCCGAATCGCCATGGATGATGGTCGTGGAGGTTGGACGCTGGTTGCAGCCTCCTAGTTGGCCGCGTCGTCGTGCTTGGGCAGGCATCCCGGGGGCACCGAGCCTCGCGTTTCGCCCGACAAGCCGCCCTGTGTGCTTCCAGTGGCCAGATGCCATCCCGGCCAGTGTGGTTTATGCTGCACGGGCTCTTGCTTCTCGGCAAGCACGCTGTCTGCGTCAAAGAGACAGCACAAGTTATCGTTTCCCCCGGTCGCGAAGAGTTTCCCGTTGGGCGACCAAGATAAGCCGCATACCTGCTGAGTGTGTAGTGAAACTTTGGCGATGAGATATATGGTTCCTGGCCAGGTGTCTCGTGTGACCTCCCAGCCCATGGGCCACTCTACTGCATAGTAGTACACCACACCGGTATCGTCGCCAATAATTAAGTCCTCAGTTTGCACGGCGATGCCAGGGTTAAATGGGTTCCTGGAGGGCCTCAACGTCGTAACCGGGCGCCAACTCACGCAAGACACCGGAAAGGGCTGTTGCACCTGAAAGCGCGGAAGGGCGTCATAAGTAGACTTGAGCACCAAGGTTCCGTCTGAACGTCCTATGGCCAGGATGCATTTTCCTCCTTGGGCTGACGAGAAAGCAACCGACGTGAGCCATACATGAGACGCGGCAGATCCATGCATGGCCCGAGGCCCTGACCCTTCCGACCAGATATACAGGACATTTCCTAGGCCAACTGCAAGCTTCTGACAACTGGGCGAGTATGCTAGAACAGAGCAGTAGAAATCATCACGCAGATCTGGAGCATCGAGAACTCTTTAAGATATTCGTTAGCTGGGTGTAGTGAATGAAAGTTGAAAGCAGGGGGCTGGAATACCTGAAGGGGGCTGTAGGGAGAGATCGCCTCGGTGGAGCATTGCCATCGCCTGGAATGCCAATAGTTAATGAACTGCTGCTTCTCGTACTTGGGGCATCGTGTCATTGGCTTCATACCGGGGTTTCCACGCAGATCGTCGTCATCAACACCCTGAGCCCATGAGCCATGCTCCAGGTCTGCCAGCAATGGCATCGCCCGTATAGGAGAATCAGGGGTTTCAGATTTGATGCATGTAAACTCTAGTACGCGGCGGATACGGTCAATGCTGAGGGCGGAGGCAACACGGCCGTGGTAGGATTGCAAGTCATCGCGGCGGCTGGGTTTCATCGTACCCACAGACATGGTAAAGAGGCGAGCCGGTGTCACGCCTCGAGGCGGGCGACGTTGGCTGCGGTCCACCTCGGGTGTTCCGGGGGCCACGCCGCCCACCATCCATATGTTTCCCTGGCTGGGTTGTCTGGCTGCCGAGTTATTTGATGGTACCAGACTCCTCACTATATACACCAATTAGCAAGTCAACACTCTCATGTATGTGCCTCCATTCTTCCCTGAAGGGGGGGGGCAACCTTGGCTGCGAGGATGGCCAACCAGTGCCATGCGGGCATTGTCCGACGCTGGTACTGGAGGACGCTGAGGTCTCGAGTATTGACTCGAAGAAGCTCCCTTCCTTCTCAATAATTTCTCAGCCGGCGAGAGATCCTGGAGGGACTTCGTGGTCTGGTACACCTGCTTGCTCGACTTGTCACTATCCCGTTGAGGGACAAATCTATCTGGGCTGCGTAGGCCCCCAGCATCGCATCTCTGCTGGGCGAGCGGCGTCTTTGTCCCATCTTTGCTAAGAGGCGAGAGATTCAGCTGCTGCGGATTCCACGCAACAATTGGGTGATAGACCCCCGGGGCTGGGCACAGCTTCCGCTTTGGCGTGGAAAGACGCGATGACGCCTCCGTCTTTGGGGGTCCGGCTGACAGCTGCAGGCAATGACGGGAAGCCTGCCCCCCAAGGTGCGACACTGGACAGGAATGGGGCTGGCGTGGTGAGTCTGTGGAGGAGCCATCCAGTGAGCCATATCCAGAGTCGGATCTGGGGAATAGGCAGGTGACATTTGCCGCGTTCCCTCTTTGGTGCCGATTATAGGCGGGATTCTTCGTCGTTCTGTACTCTAGGACCGTGGAAGAAGTCATGGCACAAATCAGCCGCTGCGAGCAGGCCCACTGGCCGCGGACCCCCAGTCGTGCCCGGCTAAATCAGGTGAAGCCGAAGCTGTATAGATGATACTGCCCAAGGGACGGCGCATGGAACGGAAGACTGCGATTCTGAGGGCCGGCCGGAGATCAAGTTCATCGAAATATGGGTGGTGTAACAATACAAGGGCTGTGAAGTTCGGATCGCCCCAGCCGACCACCGATTAGTTCAGCATCGTACACGATACTCCGTAGACGGCACAAGATATCTCTGGTGGAGGTGGTTCATAGGAAGAGAGAAGAGGTTTGCGGCCAATGAGGCAGAAACATGAGGCCACCCCGGAAAGATAGAGTTGACCAGACGGGCACGCTCCTCTTGCCTTCCAAAGCCAGCCAATGTTGCATCATGTCTTGCAACTGCGTCTTCCGTCGTGGACTGCACCAGGCAGCGCTTGCCCTTGCCGCTGGCGGTTCTGGTGACATGGAGGCATTAAGGAAGAGAGGTAAGGTAGAGGTAGGATAATGGGTGGGCAAGATAGTCCGCTGCTCGGAGGCTAGCTGGAGACGGAAGGTAAGAGCGTTCTGGTCAGCGGTGATAGGGCGAGGAGATTATAGTAGTAAGGTACCTAGGTAGGAGTAGTAGGAAATGACAGCCCAGCCCGTTAGAAGATGGGGGATCAGGCGGTGCGTCCTTTCTGACAGCAACTGCATGCATGCACTTCTTGTTGCATATAGCAGGACCTACTCCATGTTTCGACTGCTCCATGGGTAGGTAGGCAGCCAGATAGCAGATGGATGGTGAGGTTGATGCACTGGAGGAGGATGTAGATGGAGAGTATCGTATGTAACAATAAAACGCTGCCAGTAGCTTTATCTGCTTGCCCACGCGATAATCACCAGACTGGTTCGACTCCTTGCTTTGATCCGGCATCTATCAGTACTCGTACTGTACCTTAGGGTATGATATCTGCAGGCTACCAGGAAGGGGCCAATGCCAGAGGTCATATTACTCTGTACCTTACCAGACGGCGAGGCTTCTGCCGCCTCCACGCAGTGTGTGTCTTGCCAGGACGGCAGTTTCAACGATAAGCGCCGGGATGGCAAGCTCGAGTGCAAATTAGATGCGAATGGGTCGCGCAAGTGCTCTTCGGTTCCCCGCTTCACGGCTTGATTCACGGAGCAAATGATTTTACCTTAATTACTAGGTTATTCCTGCCTGTATGGATGCTGATTCGTGCGGTCAGACTTTCAAGGTTATTCTCCGCCTGACACAGACGCGGCCCTTTTCGCAAGCGACGACGATTCCCCATCAGGTAGGTCACAACCGCAGATAGTCGGATCACGAAGCGTATCTGTCTCTTTCGAGAAGCGCATGCTGCCCGTCCATATCGGCGTGTGACGGGGGGGATGCCAGATATTGGTTAGCGGTGTTTCATCTCATCTCATGGTCCCGACCTACACCTTCAGTAACCGTCGAGTTGCCTGTGCTCTAACATCACGTCCATCGGGTCTGTCGTGGACATCATCCCGTTGGGCTTTCGATCTGGTTTCCTCACAATTACCTGTCTGATTGACTGAACTCTTCACATACATGATGATGCTTATGCGTAGATGCAGATGTGCTCCCATGCTCATGGATTGCTGTATCATTTGACGGAGGTAGTTGGGACATGGAATGACGGCACAGGTAAAGTAATAAGAGGCGGGTATCCAAGCCACACGCTCGAATGAGGACGTCGCATCGGCACATGCTTGGAGACGGGACCCCAGAGATAGAGATGGAGATTCAGAGGGAAAAACTGCTTTAGGCAGCAAGACGGGATGCCATGCTCCGCAGAGCAACCCCACGATGCGACTCTCCCACGATACCTAGGGTAGTTGTATGCGCTTGTGTTGGAAGCGGTATTATTCCCATCCGCTCGTGCGAACCGCCATCGAGGGGAACCTTGAGCTCCTCGTAGGCCAAATCTACCGATTCCCACCTTTAGTATAAGCTTACCTAGGTGGGTGCACTTATACAAGCTTGGACTGACCTCCTTGTAAGAGTAAAGCTCAGGATTCCCTAGGTAGAGAGGCATCGCAGTCGTGGTGTACAGTAAGCTGGAGATGCAGGGGAGACAGAGCGAGGTTCATGTTCCTTGTTGCTTGGCCTCGGAGCCTTATCCAGGCAGGCCCGCAAACACCCCAGACTCTCCTTCCCAAAGCGGCAAAAGGCCAACTGCCCACCTCCTCGGCGCGATAGTGCAGATAATGATCAGAGACATGATGCATCACGCCCGCAGTCGCATGTCCAGCAGATGGCAGAGCCGCCCAAAATGCCACGTTGTAGGCGCATCATCCATCATGGCCAGCTCTGATGGTGACGAAGTCTATTCCTCTGTGTGTCTGCAGATGGCGCTCCCAGCCATCGAGAGGCGTCATCAGACGCTGAAGATGCAGAGGGGAGGGACCCTTGATGCGCCCAACAGGTCCGATCGATGAGACACTGCCTTGGTATCGTGGGCACATGGCGCCCTCCCGCAATCTGCCCGTGCTCCCTCGGCCGGCCTCTCGTGCCTGGCAGCATCACCCCTGATGGCGTTCGGCGACCCCCCCCGGACCCAGGCCAGGAAAGCCCCAGTTCACATGCATATCAGAGGAACCGGGTTCTCACTACCACCACTCGCAACGTTGCTAGACTTGGCGAAGTATGCCTTCATTGGGTACTTCCTATCGACCCGGAGCCAATCACTGGTGTCCTTTGGCCACCTTGCCCTGGCTGATGCCCCGGATCTGCTACTGCTCGAGCCTGAAGAATCTGACGCTTGACAGCCGCTGGAGATTCGAGCACGGGACAAGGGTGGCATGCCTCGACAGTCACGGGCTTGACGAGTTTCCAAGGCATAACGTTGCCACTGATTCTCCCAGTAATGCTATCAGCAAAGCATGGGTTACATGTCGTTGCCAAGAGGGTGCAGGGAAAGTCAAGCGGAAGTGAGCCTCATGCTTGATAGAGCAACTCAACTTCAAGTCCACCCCCATGGATAGAAGTATAAGTATGTCCTGGCTTCCGTTCGATGCTCCAGACGAAAAGCTCATCCATCAAGTGGCACGAGTAAAAGACTCAAAGAGCAACACCATCCATCACCTTTGCATACAGTTTCTTGATTTTCGCGGCATCCCAAGTGTTTCGCCATGTTGAACTTCTTCGGCAAGTCCGTGGCCCTGCTGGCTGCGCTGCAGGCCACCCTTACCTCTGCGAGCCCCCTCGCCACAAAGGAACACTCTGTTGAGAAGAGAGCCAGTGGATTTGCGAATGCGGTCTACTTCACAAACTGGTGAGTGCTATCCCCCTTAAAGCAGATACCACAGCTTCAATGGCTGACTATTGGTGGTGAACAGGGGCATCTACGGACGCAACTTCCAGCCTGCGGATCTGGTCGCGTCGGACATCACTCATGTCATCTACTCCTTCATGAACCTCCAATCAGACGGCACTGTGTAAGTTGGACGTTCCTAGACTGATCAAGTCGCATTCAATGCGCCTCAGTTACTGACCACCACGCAGTGTCGCCAGTGATACTTACGCTGATGTCGAGAAGCACTATGCGGATGATTGTATGAAGCCCCTACCCCTTGAGTGATTGTGCACCTGTGCCTTATAATCATGCTTACACCCACGCTAGCCTGGAACGATGTCGGCACCAACTTGTACGGCTGTGCCAAGCAACTGTTCAAGTTGAAGAAGGCCAACCGAAACCTGAAGGTTATGCTTTCCATCGGCGGCTGGACCTATTCTACCAACTTCGCCTCTGCAGCGAGCACGGATGCGAACCGAAAGAGATTCGCCTCAACTGCCATTACGTACATGAAGGACTGGGGCTTCGACGGTATCGACATCGACTGGGAGTACCCTGCCGACAGCACCCAGGCCTCCAACATGATTCTTCTGTTGAAGGAGGTCCGATCTCAGCTTGACGCCTACGCCGCACAGCACGCCCCTGGCTACCACTTCCTTCTCTCCATTGCTGCGCCGGCCGGCGAAGTCAACTACTCCCTCCTGCGCATGGCCGATCTCGGCCAAGTCCTCGACTATGTTAACCTCATGGCCTACGACTATGCCGGATCTTGGAGCAACGCCTCCGGACACGACGCCAACCTGTATCACAACCCGCAGAACCCCAACGCGACACCCTTCAACACTGATGATGCTGTGAAGGCCTACATCAACGGAGGTGTTCCCGCAAGCAAGATTGTCCTTGGTATGCCCATCTACGGCCGATCCTTTGAGTCCACCTCTGGCATTGGCCAGCCTTTCACCGGAATCGGGTCTGGAAGCTGGGAGAACGGTGTCTGGGACTACAAGGCCCTGCCCAAGGCCGGCGCGACCGTCCAGTACGATGACGTCGCCAAGGCTTCCTACAGCTATGACCCGAGCACGAAGGAGCTCATCTCTTTCGACACCCCCGACGTGGTCAACACCAAGGTGTCTTACCTCAAGTCCCTTGGCCTGGGCGGCAGCATGTTCTGGGAGGCCTCGGCCGACAAGAAGGGCGCCGACTCGCTGATTGGAACAAGCCACAAGGCTCTGGGAGCCCTGGACTCGACTCAGAACCTGTTGAGCTACCCCGACTCCAAGTACGACAACCTCAAGAACGGCCTCATCTAAATGGCCTCGTATTCGGCATCTGTGACGGGCGCGGGAGATGTTGCAGGAGGGCAACTTTGTTTGAAGCAATTTATCATCGTAGATAGTTCCACATATACCACTGTACATAGGCACACACGTATATACAGGCAGTTAGCGAGATACCTATCTGCTTAGTAGTAGTTTAGAAGAATTTACCATCCATACCCCTGTTACCAATCGCTATCATGGCACTGTGACTGAATCGATGAGGGGCGACGCTTACAACTTGGCCGAAGTGAGGTTGGAGATGGCTAAGACACGAAAAACACTCGAGTGTGTCATGTTATAGTCGTATACTCGCGTTAGTATAGGCTAGGTAGACTTGGGTGAATGGACGATGTTATCTGATTGGAAAGTCCTGAAGATTCAGGTATGCTTTGTCGGTTCTCGACATTCCCGATGCTGCACCAGACATAGACAGGTTACTTGCTCACACTGTGCGTCTCGTCAAATGGCATAGATGTCCTCGTCGGATGTCGATGAAGAGAACTGAAGGAAGCGTACCTTAGGTACCTAGGCATTGTTTTGCTTGGAGATCTCTGAATCAGGTAGGCTACCTAGTAGTAGGTAGTAGGTAGTAGGTACTGATGTAGTAGAAAAATGCTTGGCGATGGCTTCAGGGCACCGCAGTGATGATCCAGCTGGTGGGGGTTCTCGGTACCTGGTACCTGGCCGTTTCCGCGGATGGCGGCGCATGCACGTGACCGGATCGCCGCCCGTGTTTCGCGACGCGATATCGCTTTACATCAGCCAGCGCAAATGGCCATCATCTTGGTTCACGTCTGCTAAGCATCGGTCCCGTTGTCTAAATTCCGCAATGATGCAGCCACAGCAATACCGTGCTTATGCTCAACAGCCGCCGCAGCGGTCGCCGCATCCTCCAAACCAGCGGCGCGGAGGAATTGGTACGTCTCCCTCTCTCTCTCTCTCTCTTTCTCTTCTCTCTCTCTTCTGTCTCTCTATCTCTACTGATTTGACCCGACCTGGTCGCATTTTGTCTAACTCCATCCACAGGGCCCATGATGTCCTCTGGACCGCACCCTTCCGTCCCTCTCACACAGGCGCAGATTGCTCACCAGCAGCAAGCGCAAGCGCAGGCCAGCGAGTTGGCGAAGCGGAGAAGTCGTAAGCCGACGGACAAGAACATCCCCGACGGCGTGGAAGACTGCATCGTCGATCCGGAAGCCGTCAAAAGATATGCAGAGTTGAGGGACGTGGAGAGGCTGATTGACGCCACGATAACGCGGAAACGTCTCGACGTGCTCGATGACGCAAAGAGAACTTCCAAGGTTAGCCTACAATCCCCTTCCATCAGTTGCTGGAGAGTATGTGCAGTATGGCTTACAGTTTTCCAGCTGCGCAAGACGCTGCGAATCTGGATCAGCAACACCGTCGAAGATCAGATCTGGCAGGGCAACAGTCTCAACGCAGATTCTTTCGACTTCACACCGGCGACCGAAGCATCTTACCGTGTGAAAATCGAGGGCTGCCTTCTCGACGACGACGATCAAACGAACAACGAGCATACGACGCCCGCAGCCTCTTCGTCAGAGGGCAAACAGGAGGATGCCAAGGCCCAGAAGCCTTCTGGCTCAGAGCCGAGTCAAAAGAAGTACAGGTTTTCGCATTTTTTCAAATCCATAACCGTGGACTTTGACCGCTCTCGATTCCGGAATGGCTCCGAGCAGAATGTGGAATGGAGGCGGCCAGAAGGCGCGCAGGCCCAAGCAGGTGCCCAGCTGCCGGCCGAGGCTGACTTTGATGAGTTCACCTTCAAGCGCAACGGGGACGAGAACATGAACATTACCATCAACCTGGAGAGGCACGAGTCGCCCGAAAGATACCAACTGACTCCCGAGCTTGCGCAAATAGTTGACATGACTGAAGCGACGCAGCATGAGGCTGTCATGGCACTGTGGGAATACATACGACTTTCCGGATTGCAGGACGATGAAGAAAGACGCAACTTTCGCTGCGATGCCAACTTAAAGAAGGTCCGTTACATCCCAACTGCTTCTTGCAACGTGGCTACTATGTTAATGAAAACTGACCAAATCAGGTCATCGGGCGAGAAGCGGGTGTTATACCGATGCTCAGCGAATACGTGATGCCGCATCTTCGACCTCTACCCCCCATATCCCTGCCGTATACGATCCGGGTGGACGAAGAATTCCACAGAAACCCTCAGCCTACAGTATACGATGTCCAAGTGTTGGTGGAGGATCCCATCAAGGCTAACCTGCGCCCGTTACTGAACAACCCTCAATATGCGGCGACGCTCAAGCAAATCACCGTGCTGGACGAACAGTTGGCCAGGCTGGTGCAGGCAATTTCAATGTCCAAGGCCAAGCACTCCTTCTTCGCCTCATTGAGCCAAGATCCCGCCAATTTCGTAAAGAGCTGGCTCAGTTCGCAAAAGCGCGACCTCGAAATCATCATGGGCGAAGCGGCAAGCGATGCCGAAAATGTGGCTGGGGATGAGTGGCGACGAGGCGGCAGCAATAGTGTGTGGAACAGCCAGAACGCCCGAGAGAGCGTCAACGTGCTTCTCTCGAGACAACGATGAAGCTTCCGCACGCTTGGAAGTTTCACCAGCCGATTCGCAAAGCAAGCAGATGTCGCCCGACTTTTTCTTCTTCGGAACGGGGTGACACGAACGAGAACCGGAACGGAAACGGGATCTAGACGAACAGAAAAAGTTACAGTAGCAAGTCATGATTTTGTTGCTCGGATAGCTAGTGTGTGGTTCAAGACTTGGGTATCATGATTATCCAGCCGAACCCTTTGTCTGCATACCGTATCAGTTTGTAATATTATCTTCTTTATAGCATGTCCCTTGAGCCGCAATTGATTTGGCCAGGCCGTCCGAAACTCCCCAGGATTCTGATAAACTCCGTGTCAAATGAGGATAAGAGCGGCCAGAAAAACCAGACAAAACAAAACAATAACATGAAAGCAAAGGAAAAGCAGAACAAGATCGGAAAAGAGGTTCAGCAAGCCGCTCGTCAATATCGTTTCTAACTGCTAGTATGCCTCCTCTTGAGAGTCGATGTACCCTATGATGAGCTGACAGATCGTTGAGAGACCACGGGCGTCGATGGCATGTTACGGATCTGCTTGATCAAGAACTCTCGTTCATCAATGAATTGCTCGTCGTCGGTCCGGTCCTCGAGAAAGTGCGCGAGGAAGACCAAGAGCTTCTCGCGGTTCATGAGGAGGATCTTCTGGACGGCGATGGACTTGTGCGGATTGGCCACGAACACCTTGAACACGTGGAACCCTTCATACTGGACCATCTTCCTGTCGTCCCGCAGAAGGTTCATGCAGATTTTCAAGTGCTCGCCACTATCGACATAGGCCGTCATGACGCTGTAATTGGAGCGGTCCAGCAGCAGTTCGCCCAGGAGCTTGATGGACTGCCGTTTGGTGACGTAGCTGTTGGACTGGACCAGGGTGTTGTTGTACTTGTCAAAGAAGAGGTCGAAGTTGGTTGAGAGGTATTTTGGAATCAGGTCCTTGTGCCGCGTCAGGAGTTCCTGTTTGGACAACGGTTAGAAACGTGGTTCAAGGGCATTTCGATTCGGGGAAAATATTAGCGTCGTGTCCCACCCGAAAGGTCGTGAAAGCGTCGGCAGCAACTTCAAACGAGCTCTTGTTGATCCAGTCGAAGAACTTCCAAAACACGCCTCGGCCGCTCTGAGGTCGGTTGCGGTCAATGGCATTGAGGCCCTTACAGCTAGATCCCGGTTCATCGCCGTCGTCATAGAGGATTATGGCCGCCGCCGCCTCGTTCTTGATGAGCTCTCGGAGGACGGATCCCGCGGGCGTGGCACTTTCTTTGTGGTCATAGGCGCGACAGAGTTCAACTAGGACTTGTGGTCTGTTACACACCACATAAGACAGGGCGATGGGGTCGCTCTTGGGGGCCGCGGCCGCGGGCCGGAAGCGGAACACATAAGAGAAGATCACTTGGGTATCCTTTCGCGACTCAAAGGGCAGGCGATAGAGGTTGATGGCTAGCAGGTAGAGCAGGTCTTCGTCTATCAGGGCCGTGACGAGCTGATAGATCTGCTCGGGTGAGCTCTCAGTTTCTTAAGGGACCAGTGTTAATGCACTCAGACGGCTCGGCCGAGAACAGTGGGACGGAGGAAGCGCGTGACGGCGGCTGTGTGTTTGTGTGGAGGTGGGATTGGTGTGCATACCTTGAGTGCCTTGGAGGACGACCTTCATCTGATTGAGCACGCGAGCAAGCTCTTCAGCCTGGCCGTATGAGTGTTAGAGAGAGAGAGAGAAACCACCTGCGACAACAACGACAACAACAACACCGTGGATCGAGGATCGTGAACCGTCTGGGGCCTTACGCCGCTCACCTTGGAGACCCCGTTAGGGCTTTCGAGCTTCATGATGTGGTCCCGAGCCTGCCTGGGCAGATCGGCAGCTGCCCGCGATCTGCCTCTGCCAAACAAGAACGACATGGTCGAGAGCTAAGGTATACGCAAACGGCGGCGAGCGCGTCAAGGTCCGGTCGTCTCTCGCTCTCGCTCTATTTGCCAGGAGGGTGCCCGTGTACATAACCTCGTCTCACATCAGCCGTCTGCGAAGCCTTCCAGGGGCGGTATCCGGCGTCTTGTCTGCAGGTGCTCAGTCTGTATACCCAGAGCTCTCCGCCCTACTAGTTGACAGGCTGTTAATAGGGATGTCAATCCAAGATGCGTCAGCGCGCGACCGTCTGCGGATTATATCAGCTGTGCTAACCAGGGTGTTACCCGATACAGCCTAGACTCGGGTTGAGGCTGCCGTGATTGACCTAGCGCTCTAACAGTAAAAAGCATTTTTTTGAGAGCGCAACCGCAACCCCCCCACCTGCCCTCTGAGGATTAATGAGGGGCTGCCTCGACGCCCCTCCATTCGAACTTTTGACTCACTCCGGGCCGAACGAAATTCAAGCACTTCAAGCAGTGGGTGGTTGAAATTGTCAGCCTTTCCTTTTGCTTCTTTTTTTTTTTTTTACCCCGGGCATATCTCGACACTTTCTCTCCTCTATACACTGCGCTTCCTCTGAGGAGAGAGACCGGCACCATGTCTATCGATTTTCCCAAGGAAGAGGAAGCCATCATCCAGAGATGGCGCGAGATCGACGCTTTCCATCGCCAAGTATGTCTATGCGAAGCAAATTCATTCCTCTTCTTCGCGGTTGCGCATGCTGACAAGATGCCGTAGCTGGAATTGTCGGCTGGTCGACCTCCCTATACGTTCTATGATGGCCCTCCATTCGCTACAGGTCTGCCTCACTACGGGCACCTGCTCGCCTCTACCATCAAGGACATCATTCCCCGATACTGGTCCATGAAGGGTTATCATGTCGAGCGACGATTCGGATGGGATACCCACGGAATCCCCATCGAGCACGAGATCGACAAGAAGCTGGGCATCTCCGGAAAGGCTGCCGTTGAGAAGCTGGGAATTGGAAAGTACAACGAAGAGTGCCGCTCCATTGTGATGCGATACGCTGCCGAATGGCGCACCACCATCGAACGTTTGGGGCGATGGATTGACTTCGACAACGACTACAAGGTCAGGTTAATCTGAATATTCCTGCACATTGTAGAGAGACGGTTATTAATGTGTTGTCACAGACCATGGACCCGACCTTCATGGAGTCGCTGTGGTGGGTTTTCAAGCAGCTGTTCGACAAGGGACAGGTGTACCAGGGCTACCGAGTGATGCCCTACTCGACAGTCTTGACCACTGCCCTTAGCAACTTCGAGGCAAACCAAAACTACCAAGACGTTACCGACCCCGCCGTTGTTGTGTCGTTCCCCCTGTTGGACGATCCGGACACTCACCTCCTGGCCTGGACGACTACCCCCTGGACCCTGCCGTCACACACCGGTCTCGCAGCCCATCCAGACTTTGAATACCTCAAGATCAAGGACGGCAAGTCTGGGAAGAACTATATTATCCTGGAGAACCTGCTGGGCACTCTCTACAAGGATCCCAAAAAGGCTGATTTCACAAAGATTGGCAAAGTCAAGGGCTCGGAGATGCTTGGGTGGAAGTACAAGCCGCTCTTTGACTACTTTTATGAAGACTTCAAGGATGTAGGCTTCCGAGTCCTCAACGCCACCTATGTTACGGCCGATAGCGGTGTGGGAGTTGTTCACCAGGCACCCGCTTATGGTGAGGACGATTACAACGTGGCCCTCGAGGCGGGCATCATCAGCGAGAAGCGCCCCCCTCCGGATCCCATCAACGACACTGGCCACTTTACCGACCGCGTTCCCGACTTCGCCGGGATGCACGTCAAGGAAGCCGACAAGCACATCATCAAGTACCTCAAGCAGGCTGGGCGACTGGTCGTCGAATCTCAGATTCGACACTCTTACCCCATGTGCCCTCGCTCTGATACCCCGCTCATCTACAGAACTGTGCCTTCGTGGCTCATCCGCATTCCCGAGATCATTCCCAGCATGCTCAAGAACATTGAGGACTCTCACTGGGTTCCCTCATTCGTCAAGGAGCGTCGTTTCGCCAGCTGGATCCAGAATGCTCGAGACTGGAACGTGGGAAGAAACCGATACTGGGGTACGCCGATCCCTCTCTGGGTAAGCGATGACTTGGAAGAACGCGTCTGCGTCGGAAGCGTTGAGGAACTTCGAGAGCTCAGTGGCTATACTGGCGAGCTGAACGACATCCACCGAGACAAGATTGACCACATCACCATCCCCAGTAAGATGGGCAAGGGCACGCTGAGGCGTGTGGAGGAGGTCTTTGACTGCTGGTTCGAGTCAGGCAGCATGCCCTACGCTAGTCAACACTACCCGTTTGAGAACGTTGAGAAGTTCAAGAACTCCTTCCCTGGAGACTTCATCGCCGAAGGCCTGGATCAGACTCGAGGCTGGTTCTACACTCTGCTCGTGCTGGGCACACACCTGTTCGGCACTGCACCATTCAAGAACTGTGTCGTCAACGGCATCGTCTTGGCGGAAGACGGCAAGAAGATGTCAAAACGTCTCAAGAACTACCCTGACCCCAGCATCGTGATGAGCAAATACGGCTCTGATGCCCTGCGGCTCTACCTCATCAACTCCCCCGTCGTGCGAGCAGAGCCACTGCGATTCAAGGAGTCTGGAGTAAGGGAAGTTGTTCAAAAGGTGCTGCTTCCGCTATGGAACAGTTATAAGTTCTTCGAAGGCCAGGTTGCGCTCCTGAAGAAGGTTGAGGGTGTGGACTACATGTGGAACGTTGGATTGGAGACCACCAACACGAACGTCATGGACAAGTGGATCCTGGCCAGCTGCCAGAGTCTGCTGAAGTTTGTTAACGAAGAGATGAAGGGTATGTGAATCCGAGGCTGCAACGCATCAACAAATCTAGGGCCCTGCTATCTGAAGTGTCATACTAACATAGCTACCAAGGCTACCGACTGTATACTGTCGTCCCTCGACTTCTGGAACTCATTGACAACACCACCAACTGGTACATCAGATTCAACCGACGACGCCTCAAGGGAGAAAACGGCCTGAATGATACTCTTCACGCACTCAATGCCCTCTTCGACGTCCTCTTCACTCTCTGCCGAGGATTGGCCCCCTTCACGCCTTTCCTGTCAGATACCATCTACCTGAAGCTCGTGAAGCACATTCCCAAGGAGCTGCAAGGAGAAGACGCTCGAAGTGTCCACTTCCTGGCCTTCCCGGAAGTCAAAGAAGAGCTGTTCGATGCCGAGGTTGAGCGCAGAGTAGCCCGAATGCAGCGTGTCATTGAGTTGGCACGAGTCTCGCGAGAGCGCAGAGGCATTGGGCTGAAGACACCTCTCCGAACCCTGGTTGTCCTTCACCATGACAAGCAGTATCTCGATGACATCAAATCGCTCGAATCCTACATCACTGAAGAACTGAACATCAGAGACTTGGTGCTCACCGATGACGAGGCGAAGTATAATGTCCAGTACAGTGTCACAGCTGACTGGCCGGTGCTTGGCAAGAAGCTCAAGAAGGACATGGCACGAGTCAAGAAAGCCCTGCCCGGCTTGACCAGTGAGCAGGCGCAAAGCTATCTCACGGAGAAGCACATTATTGTCGACGGCATCCGCCTCGAGGAGGGCGATCTCGTTGTTCGCCGAAGTGTGAAGGAGGACGAGGCCTCCAAGAAGCTGGAGATCAACACCGACAGCGAGTTGCTGACCATCTTGGACTCGGAGATTTACCCTGAACTGGCCGAGGAGGGTCTGGCTAGAGAAATCATCAACAGGGTTCAGCGCCTGCGCAAGAAGGCCGGCCTGCAGCCTACCGACGACGTCAAGATGGAGTACCAGGTCCTGTCTGATCCCGAAAACATTGGACTGGAGAAGGTGATGGTTTCGCAGACATCTGCTTTCGAGAAGGTCCTTCGCCGGCCTGTCGAGCAGCGTCAAGAGGGCGCCACGAGCGAGCTTATTGCGGAAGAGGAGCAAGAGATTCAGCAGGCCATGCTGCTGCTGCGACTTGTCAAGATTTGAAGATGAAAGCTTAGAACTCCCTGTCTTTAATGTAGAAGAGTTAAATCTAAGTAAAGCGAAGAAGATACACTAAAATATGAGAGAAAGAGTAAAAAGGATGCCCGCAGATGCAAGAAATTTGTAACGAATTCCGATGTGATGAGTGTAGATGCCTACGCCTTCTTCATCGCCGCCTTGATTGTTTGATGGAAACGGTTGTCAGTGAGTGTTTGGCAGAGGTGACGCATGCATAGGCAGAAGACGGGCACATGTTGACTCACCAGGTAGCAGTCCTTTAACCGCATGAATTCCCGCGCGCACTTGTCCTTGGTGACGTCGTTATAGTCCGCCACGATGCATTTACCATACGCAGTAGCCTAGGAATTTGTGTTCACTATAAGTCAGCATCTAAGAAATTCATCAATGACGGTATAGTAACATGTTTCTTTGGTTGCTTGCTTACTTCTACTGAGCATTTGGCGACTGCCTTGGAAAGTTTTTGAATGGGGCGAGTGGACGTTTGGGGGGGCATTGTGTGAAGTATTATCGTGAGATGTTATATCAGTCGGATGAATGCAAGTATGAAGAATCCTTTGGTTGTGCTGCGAGATTCGGTATACTTATTCTTTGGAAGTGGGAGTGTCGAGGTGCTGAAAAGGTCAAAGTTGGTTCGAGCGTGGCTTTGGGGGGGGCGTTTGATGGGAGCTTGGCTTTAGCGTTGGTGGGGAAGTTGCCTCTTCAGTGTCCATCTGTTGCATGTGCTGATGACAATTTGCATGGTTCTACTAGACGATCGACTTATTATCATCGGAATGTGGCTGGAATCAAACTTCTTATTTGTACCTTTGAAGCTGATAAGGATCGAATATATGCAAATTGCCAAATGATAGCCAAGGCTAGAGTATCTATCTGCTACAAAGAAGACCGAATGTTCGCTAGACGGACTGTAACTACACACACTGTGAAGACAACAACTGCAACTCTTCTGGGAACGACATGCTCAAAGTTTTGGCCCCGAAAATCCAAGGCAGTGCTCTTACTCCATCAGCAGCCCTGCGCCAGATTCCGCGAACTGGTGTTTCGGTGCTCTCGGGCAAGAATACCCGGAAATATCATGGGGTCGCTTCCGGTAATGTGGTTGCCTGCTGTGCTGTTGGCGGGCAAGAGAGGCTCTGCCGCGTGAGAGTCGACCAGGGATGATGCATGGCCCTCGGGATCTACATGCTTGAGGTCAGCCGCCGTGGCAGCTAGAGACGAAGGCTTTTTGCTGTCCTTGTGTTCCGCTGCCTGGATGCCTCTTGGTGCGTTTGAAGCGGTTTCACTGCCAGCACCATATGTGGCATATCGATTCAAGCTGAATAGTCCCAATCAGTTCACATGAACGCTGCATTTGTGCAAGTTCGATAGACCTCAACACTTACATGTCTCTCTCTTGAAGGAGCGTGTGGTACCGGAATTCCTCTCTGCGATCCGGCACGTTGGTCTTGGCCACATTGTTACCGTCCTTGCCGGGCTTGTCGAAGTCTTGACCCAGCCACTGCTCCTTGATGGACTTTTCATAGCCACTCTGCTTCACCGAATTCTTGGCCAGCTCGCACATATCGACCGGGCTCAGCTTATATATCTGCGCGGCCACGGCATACTCCTCGATCAAGGGCTCCTTGGTGAAAGCAAACTGTAGCGGATCGTCCGTGGATAAGGAGACGTTTAGACCGCGCTTGAAATACTGGTGAAAGGGATTACGCTCATAGGCCAGGAATAATGCGTTGTTGCTCAGCGGCGACATGGCGATGCCGATTTGCTCGAGATAGAAGACGTACTGGAGCAGAGGCACTTTGCGCAGCAGCAGGCCATGGCTGATGCTATGGCAACACAACGCTGCCACAGCCAGGTGTTCGCTATCGCCGGCCTCTCCACAATGAGGCCGTAGGACAAAGGTGTTGAAGCCGCGACTTCGCCGGAAGTGGTTCAACGAGGTCATGTTGGCATACAAGAAGTAGATCCAGTAGCTATACGGAGGATTCTGCTTCGTATCCCAAGCCCTGGGCACCGGGAATTTCTTAAAGAGTCGTCTTTCAGCCTTGCTCTCGTCATCGACGCTATCAAAGCCAATGACTCTTTGGAGGAAGACGTGTAGCTTCGGATGACGCGAAGGATCTCTTGTAACCTCAAAGAGCGGCTGGAAGATGTTCCGTATGACTTGCTCGAAGGAGTCCATCAGACCGCTTGCTTTATACACGTCGTAGAGGCGAGGTATCTGGATCAGCCACCGAACGTTGTGGGAAAAGAGCTTGTTGTCCACAACCCAGGCCGCAAGCTTATCCCACTCATCAATGGACTTGCCATAGATTGATATGCGCCACTCGACCATCTGGTATTTACTGGACTCCAAGTCGGCTATCACCTCTTTGGTTATGTCGGCCAGGTACCGCCCATGCATAAAATTGTCAGTCTTCAGGAAGATCGTCCTCAGGCGCGACTCGCCAATAGGGTTGTATTTGAGATTAAATTTGTCGAATCGATGAAAAGAATCCACGTGTGCCTGGACACGTCAGGATGCAGTCGAATCAAGACGCAATGCCGCCGGGTGTCATGGGGGGCTGCAACTTACATGCATATCAAGAGTATCTATGCTCAAGTCATATGCTGTCAAATTGATGCTAGCGAAGACCTCTGCCAGGGTGAGATGCTTGCCATCTCGGAAGAGCACGACTTCGTTGGGCGACTTTTTCATTTTACTCTTGATGAACCGTAACAGATGCTTTTGATTCATACAGGCCGAATGGTGAACGTGCGTATCGACCTTCCTGACGTTGTAGAAATCGCGATGCGGTACCTTTTTGCTATCGGCAGTCTCCTGATATTCATTCAGGAGAGCATAGAGGTTGAACTTCCCTTCTAGATACTGAAGTCGACGATAGGCAAAACTTTTGCTGGGACCATCCGATGAAACCCTGACAATTTCCTCCAGATCCATGTAGAATTCTCGGATCGTCGGCACGCGTATGGCGGGAGACTTACTGGCAGGGTCGAGAACCTGGTAGACTCCGTCGCTGTCGAGCTCAAACGTCATCTCGCTGGCGCCTGGCAAAGGAAGCAAATCGTCCAGTTGGAAATCATCTCCAATACGGTGACCAGACTTTCTTCTTCGTAAAGGTCTCTTTTGTCCAGGAGCATTTGCCGTAGCGCCTACGCCGTGCTTCGCGCTCTCCTCGGAGCCATGGCCATGGCTTGAGACCCATGCGGGTTCGGGGGGAGGAGGGTAGATTTCCCATTCAGGGGTATCTCTAGGGTTATCATTTGGACCTTGGGATGAAATAGCAATGTATCTGCGCCTTGTGTCAACTATCCGGTGAATTTGTTTCGAGATAGCACTGAGCTCTGCCGTGATGTGAGGCTCAGTGTCAAAAAGTGCACTCTCTGCCAAGCCACCTGAGGTGTTACTGGCGACCTTTGCGTCGTTGAGAATGCAGCTGGCGCTAGGGCTAGGCTTGTGGAGATGAGTTGGACTGAAGGGGTTTGCTGATCCAAAGGGCCTGAAGGATGCATCTACAGCGTCTGGCGTTTCTAGTAGTCGCATGATTAGCAGCAGTCCATTTCCCTATGGCATACTTCGCTGAAGGACTGGCTATTCACCATCAGGGTCAAGAATCAATGAATCAGCCCCGTACTCTGTGGCCGGGCGAGATCCAGCGAGGATGAGCGGACTTTCGAATGGCGTTGCCTGCGGCCATGGAGAGTTTCCATTCCTTGAGCGCTGGTAGAACAGCTTTGCCTCCGTCTGTGTCATCTGAAGCTCCGCAACGGCATCATAGAAGGTGGTGCGCTCTTCAAAGTCACGCAGCAGCATTCCATCTTCAAGGCGTCCTTCGTGGCCGACAAGTGACTCTGAAGGCTCTTCACGATCGACTAAGCCACTGGTAGGTGGTCCTTCGTCGTCGCCCTCGTCTCTGGTGCGGACGGGGAGAGACATGCCGGCGCTCCCATGTAAGTCGTGGTGATCTAAATCAAGGCGATTAGAAACGGCGTTTGAGCTTTTGGATGGCAGAAGAGCATCGTATCGAAAAGGAGGAGCTGAGGAAGGCCCTGTTATACAGGTTCTGTCTCCCCCAGGCCTCGTCATGTGCCCAATGCAGCTTGTGTGGTTGCTGCAGTCGCCAAGTGAACTAAATTCCAGAGGTAGACTCACTGGTCATAGCGTCTGTCCCCGAGACTCTATCTCAGAATTGCAGCATAAGAAGCTAAAAGAAAAAATGGCGATGCCTTCGTCGAAGGAATCCAGCAGAGCGACTAGTCTGTAGGGATGAATTAAGGTTACACGGCAAGATCTAGGACTAGAGGCTCGAAGGCGTCTGTAGGCGTCGGTAGGCGTCAGTAGGCGTTGAAAAGGCGTTGAAAGGCGTCGCATAGCACTGTCAGTAGTTGACAACCAGGGAGAGGAGAGCTAATCCGTGGCAGGGCTAGGGCACCCAGAAGAGGACTAGCGGCGTGCTACCCGCGAAGAGTCTGGACTCTGGAGTACTCGTACCCGGTACCTCGGATCTGATGCACATCACCAACTTCCAGGTACAATCGAGATCTTTCAATACCTAAGGTACCTTACCTGTAGTGTCATGACTGAATTCGAGGGTATCTCTGCAAGAGTCCACGGCAAGCCTCGCGATTGACAATAACCGAGTCTAGGCTTCGTGGGGACTGCTAACAATATAATTGACTTCAAATATACGACTCTGTATCTTTGTACTCTATATGCGAGATCGTCTATTGAACAGTCTATTCTAGGTAGACCTTCGATATTGCTGGGGCCATCTAGGTACCTACTTTAATCGAACCCTTCAACTACCTACCTTACCATCACGCGATATAGGGGTTTCTGGTGATGTAAAGTTGAGGTTTCTGGTAACGTAAGCCTTTACATTACCAGAAACCCCCATATGGCGTGATGGAAACCTTTCCATGACCAGAAACCCCTATATCGCCTGATGGTAAGGTAGGAAACTGTTCGATTCGAAGCCAGAAGACTGTGCTCTGAAAGTAGTAAACAACCAGCTCTAGTCAAGCCTTCTTCTTCTCCTCGGACACAGCCGGTTTCGGAGCAACGCTGTACAGACCCGCGGCCCCAAACACCACGGCTGCGCTGACAAGGGTGCTGGCTGTCAGAGTGTTGCCAAACAGCCAGATGCTCAGCAAAAGGCTCACAAGCTTCCGAATGCTCAGGATGATCGTAACGGTGAGTGCTGATGCGTTGGCCGCAAGGAGGTTCACGCCTCGAATGCAGGCATACTGCGTTAGCACGTTGGCCGCCAGATAGGCCAGCTGGGACGGCACCCGTACGGGCTGCACCGGCGCAGCAAACGGAATGTACAGTTCAAGAGGCGTGCTCTTGCTTAGCACGCGTAGATTGCGCCACATGGAGGGCGCAAAGGGCAAGAACAACGGTAGCGATAGGATATGAGAGTAGAACAAGTTCTCTTTCCACTGCGGCCCGTAGATTCGATACGTTGACTCCGTATACAGCCCCATGATAGCCGAAAGGACCTGAGCCACAAAGATGATCAAAAGCCCTGGATTGAACACGGGGTTTTCACTATCGTCACTCGATTTCTGCGCAGCTTGTTAGAACGAGGACTGTGGCACCAATGGCAATGTGGTAAGCTAGCTACCTTGTCTTTAGAATCAGACCAGGCGGCAAGACTGACGCCAATGCTCAACAGGAATACTGCGAAAATCTGAACTCGGGAATACTTCTTGCCGTAGAGATAGCCAGCCGCCATGGTCGTGATGCTGCCTCCAGATCGTAGGATGATGTGGACCGGCACGGATATGTTATAGCTAAAGGCATGGTTGTTCAACACGTTGATGCTGAAGAATAGCAGGATATTGACGAGCCAGCGGCGAAGCGGGACGACATTGGGGGCCACAAAGAACGGCGGCCGTGTCCTGTCGAATTGCGCAAGGTATCCGGTGATGGCAATGAACAGGAACTGAACAAAGGTCACGAGTGTTCCTGTGTGGATAAGCGCATGGTTGGAATCGATCTTCTATGGGAGGAAGCGTGCGAGTGCAGGTATACCGTTTGTAGGCTCGAAGCTATGTGAGGGAGTACCCCGTTAGCAATTGTAGTCTGCATCGGTTGGGAGGCCTCGCTTACTCACTTGATGATTGCCTCGAGAGCATAGACCTGTAGAATGACGCCGTTTAGCCACGCAGTTACGATGCATTGCGCTGGATGAGAGCACCTACGTTGGAGCAGCATCCGCCAAAGATCAAGACTGTCATGACCGCCGTGGCAAACAGAGTCGAGCCACTGTCGACGGCGAAGCGGCGCACCACATTTGCCAAGGTGGGCAACTGAAGTCCCTTTGCCGGAGTCGACTGAGCACCCTTGGCCGGTGTCAGTTTGGTGAGAGGAGGCTCCATTGCGTCTCTGCTTGTCGAGGCATCAAGGTTGTGTCGTCTCGAGGAATACTCTGTATCGGCATGCGGCCACGACCGCTGTAGCTTTCAGGTAGGTAGGTAGGTAGGTAGTGGAGCTAGATATAGCACTGCATTTATGCAACTATTGTCTGCAAAAAAGCATAGGATACACACATCCTCCTAGGGGATATCGGGATACAAAGTCATGATAATAGTAATAGTATCATATAGAATATAGATATACATATATAAAATAAATATTAATTATGAAATTATAATATTAACCTACGTATTGTATAGTGTTATATTTGTAAATATAGATGCAGAAATATATATAATCAAAACAAAAGTACTACCTCTGCTATTCTTATATTTTTATATACAGTAATTCTCTCCTTATAAGGCAGTGTGTAATCACGATTACTACTAAATCGAGTATAGTGTCTTGGTGCTCTAGCTCCCTGGAGGGGTAGGTGCCGCCAGTAGAATGACGGAACGCAGCGACGTAAGTCGGATAGGTACCTAATTGCTTCTTTGGCGATTCCACCGTCAAGCAAACAATCGACCACGACCGCGACCACGACCTCTAACCGCCAAACCAATTCACGTGGCTCCTGTTGTCATCGCCGGCGAACGAACCGCTTCGAGTCTATCTTCTTCTCCTCCTTCTTCTCACGCTGACCCCGAGCACCAACCCTCTCGCACGGCCTCGCTCAAGAACGATCCGGTCCCCAGCCAGCCACGATGCCGACCACCACCGCGGAAACGCTCTCGCTGGTGACCAGAAACGTCTCCGTCGCTCCGCTCGTCCTCCTCTCCGCCGTCGACCACTACAACCGAACAGTCACCAGCAAGACAAAGAGGCGGGTGGTCGGAGTTCTCCTCGGTCAGAATGACGGCAAGAACGTGAGGGTGTCCAACAGCTTCGCAGGTACGTCTTGATTTTGTGCAAGGAAATACCTAGCTCTGCATCTCACAGCGAGCTAACGGCTCTTCCTCAGTTCCCTTTGAGGAGGACGAAAAGGACCCTTCAGTATGGTTCCTGGACCACAACTACGTCGAGTCGATGAACGACATGTTCAAGAAGGTGAATGCGCGGGAGAAGCTGGTGGGGTGGTACCATACGGGACCCAAGTTGCGAGCCTCTGATCTCGAGATCAACGAGTTGTTCAAGCGCTACACGCCCAACCCGCTGCTGGTCATTATCGATGTCCAGCCAAAGGAGTCGGGCGTGCCCACCGATGCGTATTTTGCGGTTGAGGAGATCAAAGATGTAAGTTGCTTTCTGACGCATTGGCAGACGGAATGGGACTGATGATTGTGCCCTCTCCATGTATAGGATGGAACGACGACTTCCCGGACGTTTGTCCACACACCGTCCATCATCGAGGCCGAGGAAGCAGAGGAAATCGGAGTCGAGCATCTGCTGCGAGACATCCGCGACGTCGCTGTCGGCACCTTGTCCACGCGCGTCACTAACCAGCTGCAATCGCTCCAAGGGCTGCATCTTCGGCTACGAGACATTGGAGCCTACCTCCAGAAGGTCCTCGACGGCCAACTGCCCGTCAACCACGCGATCCTCGGCAACCTACAAGACGTCTTCAACCTTCTCCCCAACCTCTCCACGCCAGAAGACGACAGCAGAACAGGAGGCCACGAACTATCACACGCCATGAGCATCAAGACCAACGACCAGCTGATGGCCATCTACCTCAGCAGCCTGATACGCGCCATCACCGCATTCCACGACTTGATAGAGAACAAGATCCAGAACCGACAGCAGCAGGACGAGAAGGAGCCGAAGAAGGACGAGGCGAAGGACAAGGACGAGAAGAAGGACGCGGGCGCCACCAACGCAAACGGAGAGTCCAAGGAGAGCAGCGATAAAGAAAAGTCTAAAAAGAAGTAAGGGGCGGGAAAAGCGACTCTGACGCCTCCCGATATTGGAGGCGAAGGCATGCTTTGAGAGTGCTTTGAGTAGATAAAACGAACTATGGCTTTCTATATGTCTGGTGGCAGCAGGACCGCTAGGCTGAATATCAACTCAAATAGACATTGAAGGAATCATCTCATGTGAAGACCTCCTGTGTTTCCGTGCAGAGGCGTGTTAGACTCCTCCAATCACGGCAGCCAATTCCTCCTTCGTCGTATGTTTGTCTCGGCCATGGCCACCGCATGTCTTCCATTTCTCCGCCAGCAAGCACGCGAGGAGGTGTTTGCAGCACGGAAACTCATCGGGCGAAGCCGTTTCCAGACTGCCGAGCCGCAATAAAGGTGATGCAGATCTCTGAACAGACTGTTGGTCCTGCTTGTCTGGGTCGTGATAGTGGGAATACGCATCGAGAGCGAAGCCGCCACAGGAGCAATTCCACGCGTCAAGATGCACGGCGTAAGTCTTGTTCCTCAGCGGCGTGTGTCGTTTGCGCCTGGATGTATTAGTTGAGGCGGCAGATTGGACTGTGTACATGTATATCTGGCCAGGGGTGTCTGATTCTTTCCCGCTGCTGTGGGACATGATGCCGCTGCCGCTGGTGGTGTTGGTGGTGGTGGTGGTGGTGGTGGCATCTCCATGTGCAGGTTCAGTTCCAGCTTCTTGCTCCCCGTCCGCCGCCGCCGCCACGACGAAGCGACTGACGAGCCCCCGATCCAGCAAATCCAGGGCCGGCAAGAGAATATTGGGAAAGATGACGTGGAGCGTCAACAGCTGCCGTCGCCAGTTGGAGTGCTCGGCAAACGAGGGCCGGTCTGTGACAAGCGCCTCGGAAGCAGCAGCAGCAGCAGCATCGGTTAAGGAGGTGTCGGCGAAAAAGTCGCTTCCTGCTGGGAGAGGCGGCGATGGCGGGATGAGGGCCGCGAAGAGTCGGCGGTGGGACGGGAGATGCTCCTCGTCTACCATATTTTCTTTCCCCTCTACTCCCCCTTGGAGATGCCGCCTCAGCGTGTGTGCCCCTTGCGAGTGAGAGTATTGTCTGTCGAGGACTGATTGTTACGAGGCGGCTCTCAACCTGAAACCGTTGCGTGCGGCGTTCAGTGGTCGTGGCCCGTCAGTACAATGTGGATGAGTAGGTCCATCATGCCTCTCAACCTGGAAAAGGAAGCGTGTGAGAACCCGGAGATGAATATGTTCTGTGCTTTCATTCGGAGGAGTCAAGTTTTACGAATATCGTCTGTTCAAAATTGGCACATAATGATTCTCCTCTCGAACCGTCCCCGTTAGTCTATTTTAGGTACTACATGATATAAATCTGGCATTTCTTGTCTTTTTTGTCTATTCCGCTACAATTACAAAATATACTGCAAAAAAAAAAAAAAGTGTGTGATGTTTGTTATACAGTGATATACCAATTACACCCACTCCTTGGGCTCCTTGAGCACATCCACCAGCCTCTGCTCCCTGCTCTTGGGCTCCGGCTCGTACATGTATTTCCAGCTCGCCGTCAACGGCAAGCTCATGAGAATGCTCTCGACTCGTGATCCGGGCGTGTTTAGCCCAAAGGCGGTCCCTCGGTCGTGGACCAGGTTGAACTCGACATACTTGCCTCTGCGGATCTGCTGCCACTCCTTCTCCTTGGCATCAAAGGGCATGTCCTTGCGCTTCTCGAGGATGGGGATGTACGACGGCAAGAAGGCCTTGAGGCAGTCCTGAACAAAGGCAAAGGTGTTCTCCTGGTCGCGCTCTGTCTCGTCGAGATCGTCAAAGAAGATGCCTCCCACGCCGCGACACTCGCCGCGGTGCTTGTTGAAGAAGTACTTGTCGCACCACTTCTTGAACCGAGGGTAGTACGTCTTGTCGTGGGAGTCGCAGGCCTCCTTGATCGTCTTGTGGAAGTGGATGGCGTCCTCGTCAAAGAGGTATGACGGCGTCAGATCGCAGCCTCCTCCGAACCACCACGCCTGAGAGCTACCGTCGGGATTGGCCGTCTCGAAGTACCGGTAGTTGAGGTGCACCGTAGGGGCCATGGGGTTGGACGGGTGCAGCACCATGCTCAGGCCGGCGGCGAAGAACTCCAGGGACTCGACGTCGGGGTCGAGGTTCTTGTGGTTCTCGCGCATCTTCATGATGGCAGGCTTGGGCAGCGATCCGTAGACGACGCTGACGCCAACGCCGGCCTTTTCGAACACGTTACCCTCCTGCAGCACGCATGTGATGCCGCCGCCGCCATTGGGCCGTGTCCACTCGTCTTTCCGAAACTTCTTTCCATCGATGCGCTCGAGTTCTTTGACAATGATCTGCTGCTGCTCTTTGATGAACTTCTCCATCCGCAGGCGCATGGGCGACTCCTCGGTGACAGCCGCCTCTCTCTTCTTCTGCTCGTCCTTCTCGGCGAGGCTCGAGACGTCAAGTTTCGCAGGCTCCGTCGTTGACTAGCACGACAAAGAAGGGGGACACTTGTAAGCTGAGTTCGGTCTTGGTTGCGCTTCTGGGAGCAAGGACGGTGTCTCCCAGGACCTGGCGTTTGAGACTCACCAAGCTGTAGGCCAAGGGAGCCGTGACGCCAATTGCGGCGGCTGCGAGCCAGACGGCTGCCGAGGACGAGCCTCCGAAGCTGGCGGGACCTCGACGGCTGCCCGAAGCAGTGGACGCCCATCGACTGAGGGTCAATTGGCCTCTGGGAGCCCTTGCTGAACGCAGGCGAACCTGCGAGGCCACGCGCTGAACATAGCGAGTGGCAGCCGAGGGCGCGGCCATGGCGGGGGGTTTCAGATGGTGATGGGAACAAAGAGACCAAGTGCTGGGCCTGGACTGAAACGCAAGACTGGGCCGGACAAAGACGGGAGACGCTGGGCTTAAGAGGAACACGGCCTCGAGAGTCAGCCGGAGAAGGAGAATTTTCGAGTCTTGGGATGCTCGTTGAATTGGGCAATTAGCCCCTCCACCAATCGAGCCACCGGCTTCTTGGTGGCGTGTTCAGCGGTTGACATCTTCCCACGCGAATAGTCATGCCGGGGCCGGATCATGGCTCTCGTCGGCACAAGCTCGGATCGGGCGACGAAGCGGGAATTGAACCGTCTGAGCGGAGCGTCTCACCGTGATGGCTCGACGAGTATCGATGGAAACTTTGGACGAGAGAAGGAAGCAAAGATCGGATTTCTTTAGGAAAAATTCGAAAGAGAACAAGGCGTCATGGTTCTGGAGCTGCAGAACAGACGCGACACGGACATTGTTCCAATGAAGCTTCTTTCATGAGCTGATGCGTGGACGAGTGCTGCTCTGAAACGTCATTCATCTCCCACGACCGCTTTGACATGTTCATAAAGACATTATAGCTCTCCCGTTCCTGTTCCTGGTGCTTTGTGCGAATCATCTTCAAGTTGGTCCACCACAAACGTTTCTGCAAGTGCTTCTAGGAGAGCTTCGAGATCTAGACTAGGTACCTACCTAGGTATCAAAGACAGCTGACTCTTGTTCACGGTGAAGGCGAATACGGTGCCAGCAGACAAGGCAACAACCGCTGCTCAGCTCCTGCGATCGGCCAGGAGCACTTGAACTCACTCTTTCGTAATCTTTGTCCCTTGCATCTTGACTGGAGCAACTGGGATAAGTCCAAGTGTGGCTGGTGCGGCACAGAGGTACCTCTTAGAGATACCCGTAGCGATCGGTACTTCCGCCATGGAGAGAATGCCAAAGCAGCCCGCGCCAGACGTAGCAGTAAGCCCTGCCTGTGACGGGGTGACTCGGTGCTTGGGCACAAGGGTCTGGCAGCTGATCATGTGGCCCGCGGTGTCAGGTACCTTGCCAAGTGCAGTACAAGTACCTCTGCTAAAGACGGAGCCGTCGGCGGCGCTGCGGGAAGCTGCGACGTGCTGGTGCCAGTTGCCATACAGTGACGCTGCGGCGCTGCACTGTGGGACTGTGTGCCAGAGACTGTGCCCGCGCGCGGAGGCGGTACCCGGGGGAGCTGCCGCCCTTGCCAGAGGCAGGTACTCGCCCCATACCGCGTTAGGACTCGGAGCTCCTGGTGCGGCTGGCCCCTCGACTCGCTGCAGGCCTCGTACCCTCGATGTACCTTGCGAGTTGATTCACCGCCCGCGTTCCCGCAATCGCCCTTTGAGCTCTAGCGCCTCCCTCCGCCTCAAGGCATCAGTGCGAGCTTGCGCTGCGTTCAGCGAACAAAAGTGACATCCACGGTGACAAGGTGCCAAAAGGTGACAAAGCCGACACACACACACACAAAGAGCAGCACAGACGGACCTGGCGTCACTGCCTGCCTGCGCCTCTTACCTCTTGCCTTGTCGTCCACTCTCTCTCTCTGCCTTTTGCCTTGTCAGGCCTTACCGTGTCTGGCCACCGCCTTGTTCAGTCCAGTCATCGGGCCAGAGTCACTGGGTCACTCACCCCTCTCCCACGTCGTCACCAACCGACGCCTGCTATTAAACCTAACCCGAGCCTCGACATCATTTCTGCATCCCTACATCCCTCAATCCCTTTTCTCTTCATCGTGCACCCCTTTCCATCTCTTGCATCTCGACAGCCCACGCCAGCCTCGACAGAGCCGCTCACCGCAGTCGCCCTATCTATCTAACCGCCTCTGCTTATCGCCCCGAGTCCGCCCTTTATATCGCCGTCGCTGCCGCCATCGCCATCCGCAGCCGCACTCCAACTCTTGCTCCCTTCCATCACCGAACAAGACCCCAACAACCCCTTACCGTCCAACATCGCCAAGATGCGCAGCAAGTTCAAGGACGAGCACCCCTTCGAGAAGCGCAAGGCCGAGGCCGAGCGCATCCGACAGAAGTACTCCGATCGCATTCCTGTATGTCGTCACCTGCTGGCTTCGTTCCATTCCCTCCCCATCCCATCTGCTCCTATCAGAACCCAGACGAAGCAGCATGCACCCACCCGCTTTGCTGCGGCTACCCTTTTGAAGCTTGACAGCTGACCGAGCCCCCCCTTTAATCTCTACAGGTCATCTGCGAAAAGGTCGAGAAGAGCGACATCGCTACCATCGACAAGAAGAAGTACTTGGTTCCCGCGGACCTGACAGTAGGCCAGTTCGTCTACGTCATCCGCAAGAGGATCAAGCTTTCGCCCGAGAAGGCCATTTTCATCTTCGTGGATGAAGTCCTTCCCCCGACCGCTGCTCTTATGAGCAGCATCTACGAGGAGCACAAGGACGAGGATGGGTATGAATGCCGTCTGGTAACCTTCTTTGCGAGTTTGATCATGTTGGCTAACAATTTGCTCTGCAGATTCCTGTACATCACGTACTCCGGCGAGAACACCTTTGGTACCGCATAAACACCGAGGCGATACTGGGGATCATTCCAAGCCGATGAGGCTGATGCTGGCGTTCTGGTCGTTGGGCTTATACTCTTTTCGATTGATGGGGGGATATTATGGGAGCTTTGTGATATTGCGAATTCGTTGTTTTTAGGCAAGAGGAATCAAGTTGAAGCAGGATGCCGAAGCACCCCCTCTCAACCCACCTCCGTCGCACGCCTTGCTTGCCGAGAGAATGAACAGTGCTGCGAGAAAGGAGGGACGGAGCGGCTTTTGCGTATAGGCAGCCAGGCAGCGTATATAGCGTTGCGGCTTCTGTCCAGCGTTGGGTCGTTCCGCTCTCGCCTTTGCTCAGCGCACCTATGCCTGTTTCTGTTTATTTGGTTTTTTTAGTCGACGCAATCGCAGAGGATTAATCTTAGCATATCCACCAATAGATGTTCCGTCCTACCCTTATAACCCCCTTGCGTGCTCTAATCTTTTGCGCAATGTATCTGTGAAGCGGGCCAGGAGCACAGAATGATAAATCAAGACATTATTATTTGTAGATCAAGTGATGATCATCGGCATGAGCATCGTGAAGGGCTCACATGGTATATACGTTCCAGCGATCCAAAATAGGTGGTAATCCAACAAAAGCTACGCTCTCCCCCTCCCACCCAGAGTCATTAATAGTCATAATAACAGAAGAAAGCAAAAGAAATAGGTCATCCAGGAACAAAATAAATGAAAGAAATCATCAAACAAATGAAATCTTTTCCACGTGCGTCTTCATGATGCCATCGTACTGGTGCATGACCTTTTCGTCAATGGACTCGTGGAATACGTCTACCTTTGTGGAGGAAAACTTGCGCGCGGGAATCTTCTTCTCAAAGAGCACGTCGAGCTCGGCAAAGGTGCGGCCGCGGGGCTCGGGGAGGCGGAAGTAGGTGTAGACGATGCAGCAGAAGCAGATTCCGCCCTGCAGAGCAAAGTTAGCTTCCGTATATCTTCTGTGGTAGAAACAAATGTGACAGGTAGAGAGAGACTGATTAAGGGGCTATCTTACCCAGAAGAAGCCGGTGTAATTGCTCCAGTCCCAAGCCTTGGGATTCAGCATGTATGGCGTCAGGACGTTGGTGACGATGCCCACAATGTTGCTACACGGGGAAAGGTTAACAGTCTGATGCTTGTCTTGATCCAAACACAAGAGGGTATATAAGCTTACTAAAGGTTTCGTGCCAGCACAACCGTCTTGATCTGCAGCCTGCGGGAAGAGAGCTCGCCGACAAGGGAGTAGCACACGGTGCCGACGGTGAGCTGGTAGAAGAGGGCCCAAACAACCATGATGCTGCCGGTGGCGAGCGAGCCCTCTCTCCTGTGCGACTCGGGGACCAGGCCCAGGAAGCCCAGAATGAAGAGCATACTGCACAGGCCGCAGAGGCCGTAGAGGTACAGCGAGCGACGGCCGACGCCCATCGTCATCAGGCCCCAGGCGCCAAAGACGCCGACCATGTTGATGGCGTACTGGCCGAGGGCGAACGAGTACGAGTCCTTGGTGGACAGGCCGGCCTGCTGCAGAAAGTAGGTGGAGTAGTTGGAGAAGGCATTGCCGCTGAGGTTCTGGATGGCCCACGTCATGCACACAATCTCGGTGCGGCGCAGGTCGACTCCCTTGAAGCAGTCCCAGTACGTGGCGCCGGCTGTCATCTTCTCCTCGAGGGCCGTCGTGTGGACCATCATGGCCACCGTCTCGTCGGCGTCAAAGTCCGTCTCGCGGTTCAGGCTCGTCAGGCGGAGCAGGGACTTCTTGGCCTCCTCAGCCTTGCCCTGGCGGACGAGCCACCAGGGCGATTCGGGGGCAAAGTAGATGGCGATGAAGAGCGGCAGCGGCCACATCCACTGCAGGCCGTAGGGGATGCGGTACGCCCACTCGTCGTTGCGCTTGAGCATGGCGTAGATGACGCCGATGCCAATTTCCTGGCCGAGGCCCCAGCAGAAGTTGACATAGGTGGTCAGGTATCCTCGCAGGGCGACGGGGCAGACCTCGGAGGCGTAGGTGACGGTGATTGTCTGGAAGATGCCCCACGGGATACCGCACAGGATCTCGGCGACCAGCAGCGTCTCGACATTGGGCGCGGTGAAGAAGATGGCCGTGAAGGCGGCAACCAGGATGAGGCAGCCCATGACAGTTTTCCGGTATCCGAATCTCTCAGAGACGAAACCGTTGATGAAGAGACCAATGATTTCACCGACAGTGGCACCCTGTAATTTGGTCGAACTGTTAGTTCCGATAAGACCTCATTTTCGCTCGAGACGACTACTGAGCAAGGGGGAGGAACCGTGGACATACGTTGCTCAAGCCAGACTGCCATCTGGCTGGCACCTGATACGTGCCGTCTGGGTACAGCTCGCCGTATTTCTCATTGAATTGAGGGAAAGCATCTGCCAGGCGAGTCAGAAACCGTTAGCTAAAGCTCAAGGCTGGGAATGTAAATGGCCGAGCGTAGGAGTGCCCAGGAGGATTTCTTACAAAAGTTGTTTACAAGGCTGACGTCGTAGCCCTCCATGACAATACAGGTGGAAATGAGGATGCTCCACGCAATGGCCTTGGGATACAGCTTGATGCCCTGGAGCAGCGTCATTGACTGCTCCTTGGCAGCGGCAGCTCGAGCGCTCTCAATGACCAGGCGCTGGTCGTGGGAGAAGTCGCCTGCCCCGCCATCGACGTCCTGGACGCCGCCGGTGGTGACATCTTTGGACGACTGAATGTCGACGCCATCCGCAGAGGCCATCTCCTTCTCGATGCCAGAGGAAGCCATGACGAGAAGCAGGTGGCGCGAATGGCCGGAACAGAAATAGAGGAGGAAGAAGGTTTCAGGCAAGGAGAACAAGACTGAACCGCTATCGCGAGGACATCAGGCTGCTCTGGTGTTGTCGTCCGCGCTCTTCACAGCAAAGTGGGCTGGAACCGAGAAGGAAAAAAAGAGGAGGCCGAGGAGAGAAGGATGGATGTGGAACGAGAGGGGAGGATAAATAGGAATACGAAGGACTAGGAGGTGAAGAGCAAAAGTGCGGAGACCGACGAGGAGTAAGAGAAGAAGAGAAAGGAAGAGATGGAGGGCAGAACGGGACGGCGAGCTCAAAGGACGAGGTTGAGATGCAGGTGCAAGGCCAGGGTCGGTTCGACGGCCGCGGGTCGAGCTAAGCCGAGCGCTCTGGAGTCGATCCAATGGTGCGAGCCCGTTTCTCTGGAGCCTTGGGGCCGAAGTGGGCTTTGGACGAATCGGTCAATGTTTGTAGGTCATGTATTATCGGAAGCATTCGCACAACACGGAGACGAAAGGTGAACGATCGAACGAGAGGTGGTTGGTTGAGGAACTGTTATTATTTCGCCAGCGGTACCATGTTGAAGCCTTATGACCTGCCAAGGAACGGAGGTTTCTTCACTCGGTACATCTCTTGACCTACCTACTCGCCGCCTTGTAACTGTACACATTCTCAGATATTACTACACAAGAAAAGGCGGGAAAAAAAAAAAAAAAACTTTCTGTTTAGCTCACACAGCGTCTCGTTTGGTGACACTAATCATTAGCAAATTGCAAAGCCCGGGAGTGGCTCGTTGGCGGCGGAGGAGCCCGCAGAAAGAAGAGCTGCTTCGGTCCTAGGTCCTAGGTTCAAGGAACACGCGACCTGGCTAGCCTCAGTCGGGCAAAGTAGCAGCATAACGGCGATGGGGCAAATTGTGATATCGACTGGGTTTGTTTGAGTCTTTTTGGGTTCTCGTTCTGGTTCTGGTTCTGGATAGAAGGCAAGAGAATTAGATGCCCCGGGTCTTGAGGGGTCACCGCTGCTGGGAGTTGATCTGACGCTGTTGGTTATGGTAATTGGTGAGTTGGTTGGTTGGTTGGTTGGTTGCATATGTTCCTCGGCATCACTTGCATGTGCTGTAGAAAGTTTTGCGCGGGCAAGGTGGCCAAATGATTCCGACAGGGGGCTGATGGAAGAGAGTCATGGAAGTTTCCGTACTATGCACACAGGCCACTTGGGTCCAAACCATTCCCAGACAAATTGTGCAAATAATACGGTGAAGCTGCCAGAGAGACAGAGAAGAGGTTCGCTCAATTACAATCACTATACAGCAAGTACCACAAGTGAGAATATCTAGTAGGTATAGACGTCAAGGCAACATGGACGCCGGATCTGGACTGTCATTATCTCCCATCCCACGATCGTTGAAGTTGTGCATGTATCACCAACAGCATCTGCAACACCTGCACGTGCCGGTAATGGGGAGGTCGTACTCAACGGCAGATCAGATTCAGTACACGCAGTAGTACTAGTGATAGTAGGTAGAGACAGCAGCAGCTCTACAGCAAGGCTGACGGGCCGTGACCTCCTCCAACAGGCTGGGCCAATAACAGGCGCCGCGATTCTACAGCACCAGCACCCGTCAAAGGCACAGCTGTCGTCACTCTCCCGCATCCCCACGGGGTAGAATCTGAGATGTCGTCGATGCGGGGGAAGCGCTAGATGCGCCGCTTCGAACAAGCTCTGCCCCATCCATGCCATCATGCCCGGCAATCTGGGCAGCCTGCGTCGCTCGCGTTGGGGGGCCCCTTGGAGGTTCTGCGGCTGTTCTGGCGATGCGCAGGCGAGCGGCGTTTTGGTGTCGTGGGCCGCCGGACACAGCCAAAAAAATCATCGCGGCCCACTGCTTTTTCGGCGGCGCTAGCCGAGAGGGGAGAAGGGAGAAGAGACGAGATCAGCTGGGCTCGCCGGTGAGTTGCCTGTTTGAGTAATTTTTTTGGACTTGCAATAATGGAGCAGGCAGAGAGAATCCATTATCGTATCGATATCGCTCGAAAGGGCATGCATGGCCTGCCTGGTGATGCCCTCATATCTCGGCTTGCGGATGCTATCAAAGAAGCATCTTGACAGCATCTGTGCCAGCCTCAAAGCTTGGTCAGAGTCTTGTTGCTGGTCGGATATAGTCGGTCAAATCTTGCAAACACACTCAATGTCGGTTTGCGGGGAAAGTAATTGAGGGCAGGTGATGCGACGGCAGAATTGGATATGGAGTCTCCAACCGATGGTGTCGTAAATTCTATAACTTCTTCAGCTGGCAGGATGGGCAAACGATGACCCAAGAGACGAAGCCTATCACCATCGTTTTCAAGTCTCCCAATGAACAATTTCCAGAGGCCACATCTCACAGCCATAAGCACTCTATTTCTCCTGAGGACAGCCAGCGAAAATCAAGCGCACAGTATTAAGCTTAGGTTAAGTTTACTACTACCTAGTAGTAGCTAGCAATCACGATTACCACTGGAGATCGTTTCCTCACCTCTCCCGCATTATATAGGTAAGGTACCTAGTAGTTCGTCGGAGCAGCTTGCAGCAATATTCGTCACTCTTGGGTTCACTCACGTCTTTCTGAGCTCAGCCGGCGATATATTTGCCCGCAGCGCCGTCCCCTTTCAGTTTGTAGCTGTCCTCGGAGGCATGTCGGAGCGTGCTCTATGTACAAGTACCTGGCTGACCAAGGTAGACCAAGTTTTCTCCGAGCCTTCCCCGCACAATTGCTGCGACAAAGGCGACTTTTTCCGTATGAGCACATCCTTTGACAATATTGAGCTTTGGTAGGACATCAACAGCTGTTGCCTTAGTATACCTCGCCTTATCAGTAGGTGACGTGCACCAACAAGCCACTGCAGTAACATGACAGTAATCTGCTTGTTAGCCCATGTTTAAGATGGCTTCTGACGAGAATGATGCTGTTGTAACAACAACTACCTACTGAAGAGACATGTTGAAGAAAGAAAAGCAGCATTTAATTCCCTCTTCCTTCCGTCTCTTCCCCGTTTCCACCTAGCGGTGCCTTTTGCTCCGAGCTCACTAAACCAACACCAGCAGGCGACCCCACCAGAATTTTGCTCAACCGCCCAGCGACATCGAACCACCTCCGACGTCTGACTGTACCTCGTCTCCTGGTCTGACTACCATCACCTCTTTGGCCTCACCCTCGACTGAGCAGCTTGACGAGCCTCAGCACCTTTTGGGACCCTCAATTGCCCGCTATAACATCTCTTATTCCTCTCCCTAGCAGGGCCGTTATCCCCTCTCCCCTCTCCGTCAAGCCCCCTCTGCCGCCCTCACTTTCAAAATGATGCTGTCCACTCTTCGAGTTGCGAGCAGGCGAGCTGTCGCCCTGCGCCCTGCGACCCTGAGGCTCACCAGCCGTGCTGCCCTGTCTACCTGGATCAACGTTCCCCAGGGCCCTCCTGTGAGTCGGCAACTGGACCGGCGTTGCTTGCATGGACCGTAACTGACAGTTGTATGCAGGATGTAAGTTGATCGATTGGCCGAGAAACTCGGCCTTAACACCACCCAACGTCGACGACCGATATAGACGGATGTCCGAAGATGCGCCAGATACTCACTTGATCCCGTCGAATTTGGTATATATGTATCAATTGCACCGGTTAAGCTAACATGGTTCTTTTGTTCGAAACATTGATAGGCCATTCTTGGTACGGCTCGTCTTCTCCGACTTCTGCTGCATCACAGCCGCAGACCCAGTCTTGCGTTGCGTTCCAGGCCACTGACTCCTCCTCTCTTGCAGGTATTACCGAAGCCTTCAAGGCCGACAAGTTCGAGCAGAAGATCAACCTCGGTACGATACCCCTTCGTCTCTACAGCAGCTTTCGGCATTCAATATCGCCCCTCCACGTCACCTCTGATGTGCCGCAACGCCGATGAAAACATATACTTATCCACATATAGGCGTTGGCGCATACCGTGACGATGCTGGCAAGCCTTACGTCCTCCCCTCGGTTCGCGAGGCCGAGAGGAAGATTGTCGACGCCAAGCTGAACAAGGAGTACGCCGGCATCACCGGTGTCCCCGAGTTCCCCCCTCTGGCCGCCAAGTTGGCCTACGGACCCAACCAGTCCGTCCTCGACCGCGTTGCCATTACCCAGACCATCTCCGGCACCGGTGCCCTGCGCGTTGGTGCTGCCTTCTTGCAGCGCTTCTACTCGGGTGACAAGAAGATCTTCATCCCCAACCCCTCGTGGGCCAACCACAAGGCCGTCTTCAGCGACGCCGGCCTCAAGGTCGAGACCTACCGCTACTACAACAAGGACACCATCGGCCTCGACTTTGACGGCCTGATTGCCGACCTCAAGGCTGCTCCCCTGGCCAGTGTCTTCCTCTTCCACGCCTGCGCCCACAACCCTACCGGCGTCGACCCCACCCCCGAGCAGTGGAAGGAGATCTCCAAGGTCGTCAAGGAGCAGAGCCACTTTGCTTTCTTCGACATGGCCTACCAGGGATTCGCCTCCGGTGACACCGACAGGGACGCCTTTGCCGTTCGCTACTTTGTTGAGCAGGGCCACGACATTGCTCTGTGCCAGTCGTTCGCCAAGAACATGGTAAGCATAACATGCACTCCTATAATCATCATAGAACGACGTAGCATGATGCCCATCGTTCGATATCTTATCTCAAGGAAGCGGGAGGGAAATGCTGACACTGGTTGACTAGGGTCTCTACGGAGAGCGTGTTGGCGCCTTCTCCCTGACGACGGCCGACGCCGACGAGAAGAAGCGCGTCGAGTCCCAGCTCAAGATCCTCATCCGCCCCATGTACTCCAACCCCCCCATCCACGGCGCCCGCATCGCGTCCGAGGTGCTGAGCAACCCCAAGCTGTACAAGCAGTGGCTCGGCGAGGTCAAGGAGATGGCCGACCGCATCATCACCATGCGCGCCCTGCTCAAGGAGAACCTCGAGAAGCTGGGCTCCAAGCACGACTGGTCGCACATCACCAGCCAGATCGGCATGTTCGCCTACACCGGCCTCAACGCCGAGGAGATGGAGAAGCTGGCCAAGGAGTACTCCGTCTACGCCACCAAGGACGGCCGCATCTCCGTTGCCGGCATCACCAGCTCCAACGTTGGCCGTCTGGCCGAGGCCATCTACAAGGTCAAGGGCTAAACGGTGTTAGCGATACCGATGATAGAATAAAGGACGAGCTTTGGAAAAAAAAAGGAAGCGAGTTTACACTGTCAAATCGTTTCACCAAAAGCGAGGGCTGCTTTTTCTTCAAAAGTCAGGATAGGGCCAAGAATACAAAGAAACCTCGGCGTTGTTGATAGTTTTCAGACCATTGTTTTTGTAATAGTCGATGTAACAATATGACGAAGCAACGTCTCTAGTAAATGTATTGTGCCCTTGTGCTAATTGTAACAGATCATGCTTTTTTTCAGTAAAGGTTAGAAAGGATAATGATGCGCGCTAAATTGTCGAGTCAAACGAAAATAGTCATGTCATGTCTCTCATCGCATATCATGAAGTCGTAATCGGTCCATGTCCCTTTGGGCATCGTCCACATGCTTTCCGTTGTCGAAATATCCCACGGCAGCCTGTCTCGATGAAACTCTCCCCTCATCATCATCATCACCATCATCATGATGATGATGATGCAAGTCACCCCGAGAATGCCCATCACGAGCATCAAGCTCAGCCTGCAACCTCCGCGCCCTCTCCGCAATCCGCGCATTGGCATCCTTCAGATGAGCCCCGTAGCGCTGCAGCGCGGCCGCGCTCTCGGGCGAGTACACGTCCCGCCTGAGCTTCCACAGCGCCTGCTCGGCGAGCTTCTCGGCGCGCTGGGCCTCGAGGGAGACGTCGGACGCGCGGAGCTCCAGGCTGCGGGCGATGACGCCGTGCTTGGCCTCGAGGGTGCGCACGAGGCACGTGAGGCACTCGGACAGGATCTGGAGCAGCCTTGTGAGGGACGAGACGGTGCGGATGCGGGCCGCCTTGAGCGTCTCCTCGGCGGCGGCCAGGCTCGCGTTGAGGGCGGCGAGGTCCTTGGGCAGGGAGGCGACGTGGCGGTGGAGGTAGGACGGGTTCATGGTGGGGTGGACGATGCGGGCGAGGCCGAGGGCGGAGGCGTGCAGGCTGCACGCAATCAGGTCGGCGAGGTCCGGCAGGAGAGCCTCAAAGTCGGAGAGCGGCGGGCTGGACAGCAGGAGGGCGAGGGAGTCCGGGGCCAGCGTGTCCACGGCATCGAGGAACGAGGGCAGGACGAGGAGGAGCTCGAGGAGGGCTTCTGGCGTGGCTTCGGCCGAGGACTGCGCTTGTCGCTGCTGCAGACGCTCGCTGGCTCGGGAGAGCCTCGTGGATGGTGTTGTTGTTGATGATGATGATGACGATGATGAGGGCTTCGGCTCGGGAGGCGTGGCGGTTGCGATGGCGCGCTCTAGGAGGTAGTGCCTTGTTGCTTTGTGACGATGCTTGTCCAGGCCCTGGGGGGGGGGGGGGGAAGAAACCGGATCATCAATTGGAGTTCGTGATGAGGAGGCTCTATCTAAATTGGTGCTCACCTTTTGCACCGCGGCTCGATCCTTGGCCTCGGCATCTTCTTTGGTCGAGCCATCCGGGTTCAGGATGGCCGTGGTGATGACCCGGTAGAGCTTGGCAAAGTCCGGGTTGCTCTGCAGCATCTTTTGCTCAAGGGGGGGAAACATGCTCTCCACGGCCCCCAGTGTGGCAAAGGGGATATTGAAGCTCAATCAAGCATGAAAAAAAAAAAAAAAAATGATCAACTGCAATGGTAGAGACAAGCGAAAGGGGAAAAGCTCAAATGAAGCCCCCTTCTTTGCAATGCTTCATTCATTTCTGTTGCACCCCCCTCCGACCGACGAAGCCCAACTTGCATCCAACGTGGGGTAATTGACAAAAGGGAGTGCCCAAAAAACATTCTTAGTGCAACTTGCCAGCTTCTTGCCTGTGTGGCTTCCAGGTCCTCAGCCTTACCGCTAGCGCGCGAAAGCACCGCGGGGTCTCGTGACTTCAGACGCCATACAAAGTGCAAGTTCACACGTAGGTAGGTACCTACCTGTTAAGGTGTCCCGCCATCGGAGCCGGATCATTTAGATGATGCGCGCTCTCATCAGATTGTGCGCAACTCCAAGCAAGTCCGTCCAAAATTCTCCAGTTGGTGGCATCGAGGGGCATCAATTCGGGTCATTGTTCTCTCCCGCCGCTCCTCAATCGAGCACTCAACCCCTCAATGGTCTTGTCATAAGGTCACTGAGCATCTCTCGGCCTGCTAAAGTTCTATCCGGACAAGTAACGAGCGCACAACAGCCATGGCGCCCGCACTGCCCTCGTTCACGGCCCTCGCGGCCTCGGCCTCACGATCACCGTCCTCGTCCATCCTCATCGCCTCCACCCTCCGATGCCTCTCCCAGATCCAGCCTTCACCGTCATTATCATCATCATCATCAACAACAACAATAAACTCACTCACGGCAACCCCCCGCGCCTTTTCAACCACAACCCCCCGCCCAACAAAAACCGTCAAGCCGCACCGCCTCCCGAGCGACCTCATCCCGCCCTACCCCTACGGCGAGCGCCGCATCTACAAGCAGTCCAACGCAGGCCTCTACGGCTCCGCCCGCATCCGCTTCGGCAACAACGTCGCCCCCAAGCACAACAACAAGTCGCGCCGCTTCTGGCGCCCCAACGTCCACGTCAAGGCCTTTCCCATGCCCTCCCTCGGCGGCGCCCGCGTAAAGACCCGCCTCACCCTGCGCGTCCTCAAGACCATCCGCCGCGAGGGCGGCATCGAAAACTACCTGCTCAAGAGCAAGCCCGCCCGCGTCAAGGAGCTGGGCCCCGGAGGCTGGAACCTGCGCTGGCTGCTCATGCAGAGCCGCGCCGTGCAGCAAAAGTTCAACGACGAGAGGGTCGCCTTGGGGCTCGAGCCCCGCGAGGTCGAGGACAGGGACGACATCATTCAGTATGCCCTGGACTATGCCACCCCGGGCCCCTTGAGCTTGAGGAGCCAGGCCACGCTGGCCGAGATGAGGGCTGCCCTCGATCAGACGTTTGTTCTGGGCGACGAGGACTTGGCGGATCTCGAGGGCATCCAAGAGCTGTCTGACGAGGATGAGGAGCTGCTGCTACGAGAGCTGGATAGGGCCGAGGAAGAGGCAAGGTCAAGAGAACCCAAGGCGTAAAAAAAAAAAGGGCAAGGAGCCGCGATGTAACAACTCTACAAAACCTTTCTAGTCCCTTTGCTTTTTTCTGTATATCATTGTACGTATGTACCCATCATGTAGAATAAATCCCGCCCTCATGCACACAGCAAGCAATCACAGAAACAAAAAAATGGGGCGGAAAGTTGCGTCAAGAGAGCGTAAAGAACAAAGCTGTATTTTTGAAACGCCTGATATCCTTGTCCTAAGCGCGCACACCCGTAAAAGGCCTTTTAATGCCATCACCGACCTCATGCCAAACAAATACCCTCTGTCATAGTCCCTATATATATGCCAAACTTTTTTCGTTTAAAATCGGAGATCCCAGCCAATCTTGGGGCCGAGCCTGGGCAGCTCTTCCGCCACGCTCTGCACGTCCTTGTCTCCTCTGCCGCTGAGGCAGATGACCAGGTCCTCGTCCTTCTTCATCGTCTTGGCCAGCTCCATGGCTCCGTAGATTCCGTGAGACGACTCCAGTGCAGGGATGATGCCCTCCAGCTGGCTGAGCAGCCTGAAGCCAGTCAGCGCCTCGGCGTCGGTGGCGGCGATGAACTTGGCTCGCTCGGCATCCTTCCACGAGCTCAGCTCGGGTCCGACACCGGGGTAGTCGAGACCGGCGGAGACGGAGTGCGTCTCGATGATCTGGCCGTTCTTGTCCTGGAGAACGTAGGTTCGGACTCCGTGGAGAACGCCCTTTGATCCGCCAGTCAGGGTAGCGCTGTGCCTGGCCGTGTCGACACCGTCGCCACCAGCCTCAACACCCAGAAGCTTGACCGAGGTATCGTTGGCAAAGGGGTAGAACATGCCGACGGCGTTGCTGCCACCACCGACACAGGCAACGACGGCATCGGGGAGCTTGCCTCGCATCTCTTGCATCTGCTTCTTTGTCTCGTCACCAATGACGGACTGGAAAGTCCTCACAATGGTGGGATAGGGGTGAGGTCCAATGGCGGATCCGATGATGTAGTGAGTGGTGTCGAGGTCGACGACCCAGGCGCGGAGAGCCTCGTTGACCGCATCACGCAGAGTCTTGCTGCCAGCCTCGACAGCCACAACCTTGGCACCGAGTAGCCTCATTCGGAAGACGTTGAGAGCCTGTCGACGGACGTCCTCCTGTTCAAATGTGTCAGTAGCTTATTTCCTCTCAGGGGAATCGGGAAGGGGGCTTGATCTTACAGCTCCCATGTAGACTGTGCACTCCATGCCAAACTTGGCACACACAGTCGCAGTAGCCACACCGTGCTGGCCAGCTCCCGTCTCGGCAATGATCTTGGTCTTTCCGAGACGCTTGGCGAGCAGCAGCTGTCCAAGCGCGTTGTTGATCTTGTGGCTACCAGTGTGGTTCAGATCCTCTCGCTTGAGCCAGATGTTGGCACCACCACAGTGCTCGGTGAGGCGTTCAGCCAGGTGCAGACGAGAAGGTCGTCCCATGTAGTCGTAGTACGATCGGTACTCCTCCCAGAACGAAGGGTCGTCCTTGATCTTGTTGAAGCCCTCCTCAAGCTCGGACAAGCAGTCCATCAAGCTCTCCGGAACGTACTGGCCGCCAAACTCTCCGAATCGCTCGGGGATCTTGCCGTGAAGAGCAGCCAACTCGGCCACCAGAGCGCTGTCCTGCTCTGCCGTGATGCGGTCCTCGTCAGTAACGACGGCTTCGACCGAGACGGATTCGGCGGTGGCACCCTGGTTGCCAGGAGCATCCTGAACCAGACCGACTTCATCCTTGAACACGGGTCGAGCATCGCGACCGCACAGATAGGCGCAGTAGTTCTCAACCTCGGCCTCGTGCTGGCCAGAGGGGGCCTTTTGAATGGTGGTGATGATTTGACTGCCGACGACGACACCGTCGGCGATGGAGGCAACGCTCTGGAAGTGCTCGTGTGTGCTGACACCGAAGCCGACAGCAGCCGGCTTGTTGCCGCTGTACTTTTTGACTCGGCTGAGGAGATCGGGGAGATTGCTGCTGAGGTGGCCCAGAGCGCCGGTGACACCCTGTCTTGAAACGACGTAGATGAAGGAATCTGCCAGCTGGCAGAGGATTCGCATGCGGGTATCTGAAGTCGCAGGAGCAATCAGGGGGACATATGAGAGGCTAGCACAGGGCACATGTGATGAGCATACATACATTCCTTTGGAGGGGTGGGAGCCCGATGTAAAGGACGTTGACTCACCTGCCCTTGGTGCAGAGCTTGCGGAAGGAGACGGCCTCCTCCGGGGGCAAGTCGACGACGATGAAGCCGTTGACGTTGGCCTCCTTGCAGTCCTTGAGCAGACGCTCCTCGCCGTAGCTCAGCAGGGGGTTGTAGTAGCCCATGAGCATGACGGGAGCCTTGAGGCCGCGGGACCTGGCCTCCTTGACCATGCCCAGGGTGGACTCGATGCTGACGCCATTCTTGAGAGCAATCTGTGTGCGGTATCCAAGTCATTAGAGCTGTGTCGAGGGTTCAAGATCGCTTGATGCACAGGACTTCTCGTACCGTGTTTGCCGTTTGAATAGTCGGTCCGTCAGCAATGGGATCTGTGAAGGGAGCACCGAGTTCGATGACATCTACAATCGTGCACACCGATTAGCGTCTGCAGCAACCCAGCAAGAATTCCCATCGTGATAAGAAAAAGAAGAGAGACGACTACTCACCAGCTCCTCCCCTCTCCATGGCCAGCAAGATGCCGGGCGTGTCCTCCGGTCGAGGGTATCCCGCAGTCACATACGTGACCAGCGCCGGCTACACCGTGAGAATCCAATGTCAGCAACCATCGTCATCAGCATCAGCATCCTCCTCTCGTCTGCCGCCCAAGATGCTACCCCGCCAATCAACCACAACCACAATTCCTTGGAGGTCGGAATACTAACCCTGCCCTGCGCCTTGCAGCGCTGAAAAGTCTGCTTGATAGCCTCCATAGCGTTCCCAAAGAAGAGTCCCAATTCACACAGAAGGCTGTTGCTTGTCCCGATTGTCCAGGTTATCGCAATTGCTGTTCGCAGGCAGTGCGCAAAGGGTCAGTTGAAGAATAGCTGGTGACGAGTGGTGGGAACAAGTCTTGACTTATTTATTACACAGAAGATAAATCTGACTGACTGGCTGACTGACTACCTACTAAGTACTACTGAATCTATCGCCGCCGCCGCCGCCGCCCCGATCCCGGAAGAAATGCGGTCCGCCCCTCCATTCCAATCTGCGCTGCGCGCCTGCAAACTTGCATCTGCATTTTCGCCTCTTCGCTCCTGCACCCGGAAAATGCTTGCACCTGCATGAAAATAGACCCCGCCAAGCCCGCTTCCCGCAGCTGCAGCCGCATGGTTTGGCGACCCCGCCATGACGGAATTGCCCAATGCGGTAATACCCTGCAGCAAGGGCACAGCGAGAACGATTCTGACACTTCTTCTTACATGCCGAAGGTAGTAGTACTTGGAACTTGTATGCGATGTCATGCAATGCAGATGTGCATATGCGTGCTACTACTCCGGGGAAGACGAGATGCATTTCACGATAGTAGTAGTACTACTCAACTTTGGAGTGCGGAACTTCAATGCTACTGCCAGTACCCCATTGACAATGACAATGACCCCAAAAGCTGACAACGTCGCCACTGGAAAACGCCTCTTTTGCCATTTTTTCATTGTCACGGACTAGTATGGAAGCCATGAAACTTGTGCGAGTCAACAGGAGCCGGTGATGAGGCTATTCAATTCGCATTTTGGGATGAGGCTGAATACGGAAGTGCTTGTTTGGGGTTTCGCAACTGTGACGCTCTCTAGATATGGAAGATGAAAATTACACGATGCATTTCTAATGCAAATAAAACGGAGTAAGTCTTGATCTAGTTGACATGAAATCAAGATGCTTCGAATACCATGACGCCGGCCTCCATGGCCCCTGAACCCCCTATGCCAATCTTTGAATATCCGTCCCTTTTCCACCCCGTCGAGCCAGCTCGAAGCGTGAGCTATTATTACCACTCCAAGAGATATGTCCCTTCTGTCCCTTTCCCAATCCAATGACCACCCCCTAAAGCCACGCTTCCCTTGGCTTCCCCTGCCCTGAACCAACTACATCAGAAGCCCGTCTTTTCGTCGTAGCGGTCATACGGATTGTTGCTCCTCATGCTCGGCTTGGTCGGACTCGCACCGTAAATGAACTTTTCGCTGTTCCCACTCCTCACCGAGCTCCCGCTCGAAGAAGGCTCCCAAGGAGGCGGCGGCTCGCGCTCAGCAGGCGACTCATCCAACTGCGTGTCACCCGTTGTCGTTGTCGGGTAGCGGATGCCTCCTTCGGCACGGCCACGATCCTGTGCAGACATGCCGACCAGCATCCGTATCACGCCAATCAGGACGACAATCACGTAGACGAGGAAGATGCCCGTGGAGATGAGGGCTTCCTGCACCAGGTTCTTGTGAAGCCAGCCGGTGACGTGCCCAACCGCTCCGCTGATCTCGTCGCTCGAGGCGGACGAAGGCGAGGCCAGGAAGCTGCCGAGCCCCGAGTCTCCCGCCACAGAGCTGTTGGCTCCCGCGCTGAAGGTGTCGTTGGGGAAGAGCGGCAGTTCAACGTGGGCGTGGTCGTGCACCCACGTCAGCCCCTTCTGGACGCTCTCAATCTTGAGCCCAATGACGCAGTGGAGGATTGACTTGACCGGGCCCAGGAGAAAGGTGCCGTTGAGCGCTGCGTTCAGACCGCCCTCCATCTTGTCCATGAACGTGTTGATTGTGTCGTTGACAGCCCCCGTGGCATTGCTGACGTAGTCGAGGAGATCACCGTTGATATCGTCGTTGAGCCCCTTGATGACATCGTTGGCATCTCGCGCCCAGGAGTCGGAGACGTTCTGCAGGCTATCCACCACATGGTCCGCAAACGCGCCAATCTCCTGGCTCAGCGCAGGCGTCTTTGACTCGACGGCCCTGAGAAGGATGGCCTGGCAAATGCACGCAAAGAAGCCCGAGAGGGCGAGCGAAAGGACGAACAAGGCGGCCGGCGTGGTGGCGTATGCAATGCACCAGCGGACGAGAATCTGCCTGTTCCCGCTCAGCTTGCTGGTGAAGCGCATGCCCCAGGCGGCCGTAAAGGGCCGCGAGACGGTGTAGACAACGTCCATGGGGTCGCGCTGGGTGTCGCTGACGAGCTTGGCATGTTCCTTCTGCCGCCGCCACCGCCGAATTTCCAGCCATGCCATGGGGACCATGGCGCCCAGCGCCGCCAGGACGAAGATGACGATGAAGACCGTGCGGGCCTTGGCCACGAGCTTGAACAGGCCGTCAAAGAAGTTGTTCAGCGTGTCGTTGTCGGAGCAGAACGTCATCTGCTGCTTCTCGGCCAGGGGAAAGGTGCTCCTGTTGAACTCGTACTTTCCATACCTGTCCTCCAGGGCTTCGCGGAGCTTGTTGAAGGGGAACGCGATGACGGATTCCGTCATGTTCTGGACCTCCTCGAACGTGGGTATATCATCGTTGAGCTTCTGGACGCCGCCGACAAACTCAGTCGTGTTGATCTGGAAGTCTCTGAGCTCCTCGATGGGCTTGGTAAAGTTGACCTTGGGGATCTTGGAAAGCAAGCTGCCAAAGATGGAGTCTTCGATATCCGACGTGAGATTGCCGATTCCCCTCTGCAGAGCATTGGCAATCTTCTCAATCTCGTTGACCGTGCCGTTGACCACGTGGTTGTACGCCTTTGTCGCGTCCTCGGTAACATTGCCTATCACATCCAGAGTCCCGTGTATCATGGCCGTGATGAGGCAGGTATAAGTAGCGGCGAGAAAGTTGATGTAAAAGATGATGATGCCCTCGACGCCGCTGATGACGAGATCGAGAACCTCCACCATGCCGTGGACGGTCTTTTCCACGCCCATGGCAACCAGCTCGTTGACGCCGGAAGACAGATAGTGAGGCATGGAAGCCATTGCGCTGCCCACATCTTCAACCTTGGTGCAGGCGGAGAGAGCCTGCGCCTCAGCAGTCACGAGATTGTCATGTAGCTGACTCGTCAAGATGATGGTGCGGACGAGGACGAGGATGATGAGGACAGTCCACCGGTTGATCCATACTTGCGAGAGCCGGGACCGGAGGCTGAGGTACGGGGTGATGTAGGGAGCCGTGTCTGCGCGCGGCTGGATGATCCGTTCCGCTATGTATGGAACGAAGGGCTCGATTCGGAGAGAGTCTGGAACATGAGGGAATCGCGACGGATTCTCGCCCGTACGAGGGAAAGACATTATGAAGGAATGGAGTCTTTAAGCAGCCGATGCAGCGAAACAAGTCTGATGAGTGACGATGAAAGATGTAATGAGAGTCGGAAACTTCGTCACGGCCGGCCGTTGGAAATGGTAAGAAGCAGATGGTAGAAGAGCTCTGGAAATGGAATCTAGAAAGAGAAGTGAACCGTAGATGAGCCCTCTAAGAAAGGAAAAAGATGATATCAAAAGGGAAAAGACAAAGGAGAGTGAACAGAAGGAAAAGGAAAAGAATCTATCCATGCATCGTGATTGAATGACAATTGAGAAGAGAGTGAATGGCCAAGGACAAAGCAGTGAGGGAGGAAAAACAATAGCAGCGCAAGCACGACAATAAGAAGAAAATCCGACTGCCCAGGCCCAAGCAGTGAGTGAAAGACAACTGACACACGCAGTCTGGGCAAACAAGGGGTATCAAGCCAAGCGCATACTAACTCGCCCCGGATTGCCCTTGCAAACACACACCAACTCTTGCCTTCACGCATTCACGTCCCTCAACTCAACTGACCATAGGTAGACAGAGTGATCCGAAATAGCACTTCCGGAGGCCGTCGATTCGACAGGAGGAAGAGACTCAAAGCAGCCCCTACGGCCGTGATGCAGAACGGCTACTTGGAAACCAGCCGGGCTGATTTGCTGACAAAGATGGAGGCGCGATACCCTTTTTCGCCTAGATTTTCAGTGCAAAGTACGGTACATCGTCTTCTCATGGGTCAAAGCGCCCAAATCCAAGTTTGCAATGTATCTTTTTTACATGGGTCAGCGGATAGTTGCGGAAGGTGTGCGGAATGGCCAAAAACGCGGTCGGAACGCCTGCAAGAGGTATAGCTGCTAGCCAGCTGGCTGGTTTCAAAACCTGCCGTCAAACCTTGCTAATTTAAATCAGTCAGCCAGACCTAGGTGGCTATTTTCTTTATATAAAATCTAAATAAATATATAAAAAATTAAAAATTTAATATGCTATTCTTTATAAGCTATTCTAGCTACTGTAATTTTTATATAATTTTTTTCTTATAATTAAGCCTAGAAATAAAGAAAGAAGCTGATTTATATTAAAATATAGGGTATGTGTGCAGAAAAATTGGGGTATTCGGTACAAGCTGTAAGACCCCTGCTAGCCTATTTCCTCTAGAAGTCACTGGCTGATCAGCCAGCTGGCTGATCAGCCGTTCTGCATCACGGCCTACCTATGCTTTGCCCTGTGGAACCCTGTTGTAAGCGCCGTCCGCGGTTGTCGGGGCCCCGGGTCAGCCAGTCAGAGCAAGGCACGCTGCCGCAAATGGCACAACCTCAGACTTCAATCATTCTCTGCCCGTGAACAACAGAAAGGAACAACAAAACAGCACACCCCCGGATCTGCCAGATGCCGTGGCTGCCGACGATCCGCTTGGCTGCCGTTTGTTTGGCCGCTGGTTGATGCCGGAGAGTTTCTTTGGACGGCAAACGCCGAGGAGGGGAGGCTGGTTGAAGCGCCGTCGGGTGGTGAGACGAGACAACTTGAATTTGAACGATGCTGTCGCGGCATCATGACGTAGGCACTCACTTGTCTCTCTGCAGAGCACGATGAATGCTAGGAAAACACTGAGCACAATCTGTCTGGAGAGGAGGGTCTTGTTGACTGATCGTCGCGTGATGCTGGGCAACAATCGGCAACGCTCAGCAGCTCACCAAAAAGGTCCAGCCAGCATCGCCTCACAAGATCGTATCCTTGTGCATGACGCTGCCTCCCCAGACAAGCAGCGCATCACGAGAGGCGCTTCGCCTTCGCCTCGTCTTCGAAACTCACAATAGCAGCTCCGGAGACATACACTTCCCGCACATCGCCGTCATCCTCCTCCTCCTCCTCCTCATCACGCGGAACACAAACGGTTTCTAAGAGAGAGCTCATCATAGCAATGTATCATCTAGAAACATTTAAAAAGCTGTTGCGGACGTCGAGAGCTCTCGTCCAATCAATAGCCGCGCACAATCAGCGCCCAGGCTTATGTAAGTCGCTCAGGCGCTGGTGGAAACCCGTTTATGAGATGATAAAGGGCAGATCAAGTGTCACGGGCTCGACCTCAGGTTGGTTTCATAGGCTTGCCCGGTCTCAGTTCAAACAGCTGGACTTTTTCTGGATGAGTTACAGTCTACTGCTGCTGTCCTACCATGTGAGACGGTGAATTGATGAACATAACCGGCGTAGCCACTTCGGAGGTAGCTTAGGCCTAAGCTTACATGCTTTGCTGCAACTTGTAGCCGCTCAAGACGCGCCGCTTAAGCGCCCGGCCGGGAGAGCAGCGCGAGACCACTGAGACACCACTGCCAAGGAAATTCATATTCTGGGTGTGTGTCTGCCTGATTCAAAACATGTGTTTACGCAAGATCTATGACGTACAAAGTATCCCTTCATTCCTGTTATATTATACTTGCTATACTTGATCATCAACAACACTACACTGTGGCCTCCTTTACGACGATGACACCCCTCCATCTCATCAACTGTTATCCTCATTCCTCTTCTCAGCCGCGCTTCACGACGTACGCCACAAACACGACAAAAGCGATCCAAATGCTCCACAGAAACAACATGTCCTTGGTATTGAATTTAATATATGGGAATAGGAGGCTTTCGTAGAGCCTTGCATTAAATCATGTAAATCCAGGAGCATCAACCGTTCGGAAACGCTTCAGAGTCATCAACCAGTCGAGAACCTCCGCCCGACCAAAAAAAAAGTCATTATAAACCAAACCGCCCCTTCCACCTCTCCACAAATTTACACATCGGTGGTCTTGTTGGCACCGACGACGACGTCCTCGATTGTCTCGTCACTGAACTTCAGATCCTCCTCAATCGAGACATGGTCCTTGATCTTGTAGAAGACGACGGGCGCGGCCAGCACAAGGGAGCCGGCAAGGACACCCCAGGTGGCGGCGAACATGGTGTCGTACGAGGTGCCAATGGCATCCAGGCGCCAGAAGATGGCAGCACCGGCGGACTGGAAGGCCTTGTAGAAACCTATCGTCGTCGTAGTCAGCAACATGCATGTGTCAACGAGTGAAACCTGCGGGAAATTAGAGACTTACCAGCCATGTTGGCGGCCTTGCGTCCAGAGTTGGACAATGAGCCCATCCACCAGTAGATGTTGGTCTGCCAGATAGCATCGTAGAAGCCATAGAAGAAGTACAGGAACATGGGGCCGATGAAGAGCTTGCCGCCATCCTCCCAGTCAACCTTGTGGGACTCGTAGTCGGGGGCGGAGACAACGCTGCGGCTCGGCTGGATCTTCTGCCAGGCGTATCCACCTCCCCAGATGGCAAAGGTGAGGACGAACAAGAAGACGAAAGAGGCCTTGGCACGGACGCTGCGGCTAACACCAGAGTAATCCAGAGCATAGCCGTTGATGACGGCACCGATGATCTGAGCGAGCCAGTACAGCAGGTTGTTAAGGGCACGGGTGCGGATGTTGAAGGCGGCCGCGTTCATGTCGTTGTTCTGGTAGGTGTAGAAGATGTTGGAGGCGAAGAACATGGGGAAGAGGAGGAGAACATAGGGGGCGTTGTACAGCGTCTCCCAGAGGCCCTTGAACTCGGTCGTCCACGAGGGGTTCTTCATCAGGACGATCTTGGTGCCATCCTCACGAATGACCTTGTTGGCGTCCAGCAGGAAGAATGAGAGGACAAGGCCGAGGAACATGAGAACAATGAAGGCAGCATAGGTGCCATCACTGACAGTTCCGGAGTGGCTGTGGATGTTTTGGGCCAGAGGGATCTATAATCGTACAAATTAGCACATGAAACACACGAAAGCAAAAGGAGGTAAGATCAAGGGCCTCAAAATAGCAAACGCACCAGAGATCCAATAACGGCACCAAGGTTGAAAATGATCCAGAAGGTGGAGATGTAGCGACCCTTCTTCTCCTCAGGGGGGTACGACATCATGACAGCACCCTGAGCGGTCCAGAGCAGACCGGCGCACACACCGAGGAAGGCACCGGCGAAGATGACGAAGCCAATGTTCTTGTTGTGATTGTAGCTGAGGAAAGAGGCGCTGTAGATGCAGTATCCGAGACCGCCAATGCCGATGGTGAGACGGAGACCAAGACGGTTGGCAAAGGTACCGGAGAAGAAACCGACAACGGCAAAGGTGCTGTACAGGGCGACGGAAGCGTGGTCCTGAGCCGTGGGGTCGACTTGACCACCACCTCCCAGGCCGGTCAGGGAGTTGTACATGCCGGGGCAGAGGAAGCACACGAGGGCGACCAGCAGCAGCTGGACTCGGGGCGAGGCATAGTAGACTTCCTTGCCAAAGATCCGGTGGCCCTTGTAGATCCAGCCGGCGGGCCGGTCAACAAACTCGGCGCCGTTCTGAGCGGCCGCGTACGAGTCGACGGGGGCGACCTCCGGAGCAGGGTCCGCGGCGTGCTTTTCGTCGTCAGCCATGGTGGAGGACTGGCTCTGCTTCCCCGATTGGTAATCGTGTGGAAAAGAGACTTTGTTCTCTTATGGTCGATAGCCTCGCACTGAGAGTGAAAAACTCAGCCGAGGGAACGCTCACAGGGAGTCTGAGCGCTCTGTCTTTGGCGTGTTCTGTTCCACCGAGGAGAGACCCGAGGCCGTGGAACAAAAGGCGACAATGGGGAGCGGACAGTGAAGAAGAAAGCTCGGACAGAGGAGAGACCCAGAAGTAAATCCGGGGGCCCTGATGATATATGAAGGTCGCGCGCAGATCTGACGGCCACCAACTGGGAGGGTAGTATCGGCAGGGCTACCCCATCCCAATTGCTCCAGGGGATGGTACAGACGCAGTCAAGGTAGCTCAACTAGCCGTCCAGCAAACCACCTCGGGTTACTAGCTGCCAAGTGGATGGACGGATGAGCAGCGAGAGCGCTAGGTTGGTGCGGAGACGGTGCTGGGGGGGGAGGAATCAAGGGCCGCAGGTCACACCACAATCACCAGCATTCAGGTCGTAACGGGCAGAGAAGGATTCGTGTGCTGGTGC